CGGGGGTCGGGCCGCGGCGGCCGGAGCGCGGAGTGCGTGCGTGCGTGTGTGCGGCAGCCTCGGCGGCGGGCGGGGAAGGCGCGCGCGGCCCTGCAGCCATGAGCGGGGCGGCCGGCCGCTGCGTGGGGCCCAGCCGGCCGGGGCGCGGGCGCGGGCGGCCGTGGGGGAAGAGCTGCGCCGCGGGGACGCCCCGAGGTCGGGGAGCCGGGCGCCGGCCGCCCACCGCGGCCCGGGAGACGCGCTGCGTGGGCGCAAACCGGCTGCGGGACCGTCGGCGGCCGCGGGGGAGAAGGGCCGAGGCCGGGGCCGCAGGCGCGAGCGAGCCGGGGGCTTCGGGGACCCCGGGCGCTGCAGGCCCGGTGGAGGCGGCGGGGGACCCTGGGGCCGTGTGGGTGGACGGGGCTGTGGGGCAGCCCCAGGTGGTGGGGCCCGTCGGGTCGGTGTGGGTGACCGGCACCGGGGGGGAGGAGGAGGACGGGGCGCTTTCTCCGAGTTCCCGGGGCTGTGAGCGGAAAGGCCGCCCGGGCTCCACGGGGCACGAGAGCATCCTGGAACTGTGGCTGAAGGTGCAGGCTATGAGGGCAGCCTCGGGCTGTGGGGAAGGAAGCAGGGTGGAGCTCCACCCGGTGCCTGCGGGGGAGGGCCCGGTTGAGAGGGGTGTCCCCGGCCGGGCTTCCTGGGTAGAGACGAGCCGGGCTGGCCTCACAGGACCTTGGGTGAAAGGACAGGCCAGGGCAGCCCCCGGGGCCCCAGGAGGATCTGCAGCCATGGGGCTCGCGGCAGCTTGTGGGATGGCCTCGGCCTTGTGTGGGCAGGGACAAGCCGTGGGCCTGCTTTCTGGGGGTGTGCCTGCGGCCCTGGGGACGAGTTCAGGGATTATCCCATACCTGCTGGGGCGAGGACAGGCTTTGGGGGTGCCTGGAGCCATGGGGTGGCCCGAGGCTGTGCAGAGAGAGATGGGCTGTGGGGCCGCTCAGGGTGTGTGGGACAGGGGCCAGCCAGTGCAGGTGGCGGGGGCGCTGGTCCGGGAGGCGGTCTGTGGGGACACCCCGGGCCTGTGGGGGAGGGGACACGCTGCGAGGATGCCTGATGCTGTGGGGGCACCCAGAGGCATGGAGGAGGAAGCGACCTCCGTGGGTGCCCTGGGCATGTGGCGGAGGAGGCGGGCTGTGGAGGGGGTAGACTCTGGCGGTGTTCCTGCCGTATGGGGTGCTGGACAGCCTGTGGGGGTGCCTTGTGCTGTTGAAGAGGAAACCAGGTGTTGGGCTGACACAGGATTCAGGGAAAGGGGACAGGGCGTGTGGGTAGAGACTGGGTCTGTAGGTGACGCGGGGTCATGGGCAGCCACACAGACCGCAGAGGTAGGTGGCCGTGATGAGCAGGAGGTAGGCTCTGGGGCTGCTCCAGGCCTGTGGGGTATAGGGCTGGGAATGGGAGTACCTCTGCCTCTGGGGAAGGAGACAGACTGTGGGAACCTCCCGGGTCTGTGGGGGACCGAGCAGCCTGTGGGGGTGTCCCAGGCTGTGGTGGTACCACCAGGAGCCCCAGGAGAACAGGTGAGCTATGGAGGTCTCCCCGGCCAGTGGGAGAGGCAGCAGGCTCGGGGGGTGCCTCTGGCCGACGGGGTGGCAGGGCCTGTTGGGGAGGGCGCAAGCTGCGGGCACGTCATGAGCCTGTGGGAGGGGAGGCCGGCTCTGGGGGAGCAGGAGGCCCTGGCGCCTACAGCTTTAGGGGTGCCCGGGCCTGCGGGTCAGGGGGCCGGCTGTGGCGATGGGTCCTGTGTGTGCAGAAGGAGACGGGCTGTGGGGTGGCCTGACCCAGAGAGGGTGCCCGAGGCCGCGGTTTTGCCCAAGCACAGTTGTGCCCCGGCAGGGGCCCCCCCAGCCCTGAGTACGCCTGGGCCTGGAAGGGCGCCTGCCAGGGCGCCTGCCGCGGTGTGGGTGTCGGGCCCCGTGTGTCAGGAAGGCAGCTCCCGCGATGTCTTGAACCTGTGGGAAAGCATGCGAAGCGCCGCGGTACCCGTGGCTGCAGGGGTCCCCGCGGCCCCCGAGGAGCTGTGGTCTGTGCCTGAGGACACTGGCTCTGCAGCTTTCCCCGGATCATGGGGAAGGAGACAGGCTGTCGGGGTCCCTGAAGCGCCTGGGCTTGTCGGGGAGGAGACGGACCCCGGGGGTGTCCCGAGATCTTGGGGAAGGAGACCGAGTGCCAGGGCGTCTGGGGCTGCTGAGGTGCCCACAGCTGCCAGGGTGCCCGGTCTTCTGGGGTTGGAGGCCGGCTCCGGGGCTTTCTCAGGCTTGCCGGGAAGGAGGCAGACGGCAGGGATGTCCACAGCTGGCGGGGTGCCCGTGGCCCCCAGGACACTTAGGTCTGTCCCGGAAGAGTCTGTGCCTGGAGGCGTTGCAGGCCTGTGGGGGGAGAGGGAGACAGCTCGAGGACCAGCAGACGCCCGGGCTCCCACAAGGTTGGGGGTGCCTAGCACTGCCTGGATGCCCGCACCTACGGGGGATAGGCTGGGCCCCAGGGGCCCCTCAGGCTTGTTGGGAGGGAGACGGACTGCTGAGATGCCCACGGCTGCTGGCCTCCCCGTGGCTGTGGGGGCCTCTGGGCCGATGGTGGCCGATGCCGGCTCTGGGGATGCTTCAGGTGTGTGGGGACAGAGACCAGTGACGGAGGTGCCCACTGCTGCCGGGGCAGGTGGCTCCGACGGTGTCTCAGGCCCGTGGAGAAGGAGACCCAGTGGACCGGCCAGTGAGGCCGTGCGGGTGCCTGTGTCTCTGGGGGTGCTCGCGGCCGTAGGGGTTCCCACGGCAGGGCGCGCGCCTGCCGCGGTGTGGGTGACCGGGCGTACGGGAGAAGAAACGGCTGCCGCTGCCTCGGGCCTCCCGGCATTGAGGAGACAGTCCCTGGAGGGAGCTTCGGGGGAGGAGGCAGGAGGCCGGAGCCTGGAGCTGACTGGGGAGAGCCAGGCGGCGGGGGTGCCTTGCACCCACGGCTGCGGGACCAGGTCGCGGAGCTGCCCGAGGCCTGGTGGGGGAGAGGCCGACCAGGAGAGCGTGCGCGCTGTGTCAGGGACCAGAACCGCCCTGGGGGCGCCCCCGGTTTCAAGGCCGGAAACAGGCGTGGGCCGTTTCAGGGATCACCGGCAGCAGAGTGGGGGGGGGCAGGCGGGAGGAGCGCCTGGGGCTAGGGGGAGGCGGAGCCCTCTGGGAGAGCACCGTGTGGGGGAGGACAGGTTGAGGGGGGCCTTCCAGTAGTATGTTAGGGAGCAAGTGGGGGGGTCCTGGGCTCTGTGGGAGGGGACAGGTTGGGGGGAGGTGTGGCCTGGGTTATGGACCAAGACACAGGGTGTAGGGGTGTCTCAGGATCTGGGAGAGAGGCTTCATAGTGACGTCCTGGGGGATGTTGGGTGACAAACTGGGAGGTTTCCTGGCGCGGTGGGGTGGGGACAGGTTGCAAAGAGAGGGGTGTCACAGGCATTTGTACAGGGGGACAGTGTGGGGGTGGGTGTCCCTGGACTGTGTGTGTTTGTGTGTGTGCGTGTGCGCGCGCGCGTGTGTGTGCGTGTGTGTGTGTGTGTGTGTGTGTGTGTGTGGCGTCACTCGAGGGATCACCTAGTGTTTCCTAGTGGAGAGTGGGAAAGTGCCGGCCTCGACAGACTCGTGCATGCGCGGCCCCACTCTGCGGGCCGCCTGACCCTGCGGCTGCAGCCCCCGGACTGTGGCGGCTGTCAGGCAACAGCGGGGCCGCCTCGCTCACCTGCCCCTCGCGTCTCGACAGCCCTAGGAGTAGGGGATCTTGAACAGCTGCCCTGATGTTCCTGCCGATGCGTCTGTCTTGAAGCAAATCCTGTCTGCAAACCTTGGGTTTATGCAAAAGCTGAAATTAGGGATTTTTTCTTAAGACCTGGATTTCCCCATTGATTTACTATAGGATTCTTTGACAGAACAAATACCCCAGTACATTGAAAACTAGTCAGTTTATGGAAAATCAGCTTAATTCAACAAGTGTTGAGTTAAAGTGTCTGCCATGCTCCAAGCACAGTGTTGTGGGAAATATCAGAGAAGAGCAAGACAGGTCCTTACCCTCCAGGAGCCTTGTCTAGCCGGGAAGATGAGACTTACCCCGTGACATAGGTAAATAACGTGAGGCGAGATCGTGACGAGCTCGTGCTGAGTGCAGGGGTACCGAAGTGTTGGGGGGGGCATAGCCCACGTCAGCTCCCAGAACACCTTCCTGTCTTAGCCCACTGTGGGCGGGGGCCCTCCAGCGGAAGATCTGCCCCAAGCCTGGGCGTTCTGATCCTCCCACAGGCTTCCTTAGAGTCCTGCAGAGTTCTGACCTCAGCCACCCGGGAGAGCAGAGCCGGCCGCTTTCTAACTAGTGGTTGGGGTTTGTGAACGTAGACTGTGTCCATAAAGCCACCCTGCTGGAAAGTTGCTCGCCTACTGTAGTGGAGCTCCTGTCTTCCTGGTGACCCTTGAGATCTGAGATTTGGAATGGCTCAACAGCTAGTCATTAGAATAATGCGCCCCGTATTCTCTCAGAAAGTAGGGTTTCAAAAGGGAAGATGCTTTTGTACCTGTCCTGAAGCCCTCGCTGTTACACGTGAGGCTGCTATGGACTTCTCTAGAATGTTGCATGAGCATGGTGCTGTTTGACTTATTCTTCCTGTGTTTGAATACGGTTGGTCTGAAGTGGCTTTCTCTCATTTTAGGCAATGACTGTGGGAGAGCAGTGCTGGCCGGCGGCGAGGCTCTCTGCAGCGTCCCGCACGCTCTGACGGGATGGGCCCAGGCAGGCCAGCCTCCGCCTGCGCTCATCTAGCACCTTGCGTCCAGTTACATGGGAGGAGTGACCCCAGGACACTTCAGGCCCAGGTAGTTCTCTTCCCTTTCTCTCTTCAGATTTTTATCAGGAAACATTTTGAACAGAAGTTGGAGGAAAAGGACAGTAAATACCCTTTAAACCACCTTCGAGATTCAACAGTTGTTAGCGGTTTGTCCTGTTTTTCTCTCGGATGTTTGCAGAACCACTTCAAAGGCAGCTGCAGACGTCATGACGCTTCCCTTCTAGATATTTTAGAATACTCAGCATTTTAGAATAGTCTTAACAGTAAACTCTCTACTTAACCGTTATCACACCTAACAAAATGGACGAAAAATCATTCCCTAATATTATGTAATAACCAGTTTTCCCTCAGCTTCATCCAGTTGTCCCCAAAATGTGTTTCCCCCCAACACTGAATGTATGAAAATCTTCACGCAACAACATTGGGTTCTACAGCGAACACCCAAATTGCATTACGATTTTGTGGTATTTGTTTCATTGCCTGTCTGACCTTCAGTCCACCCTCCAGAATCCATCCATCAGCCCATCTTACTCTGATAAATAAGGAAGTCAGGTGCAGACACGGGCACCCTGCCTGCCTCAGCATGCGCATCACACGCTAGAATTCATTCTTGGAGCTCGTTCTTAGAATTTCAGTTCTTTCTTCTGATGCATATTTTACATCTGAAATGAATACATCAAAACGTATGCATGTTGTCACATTTGCTGAGTTTTGACAAATGTATACACAGGTGTTGCACGTACCTCTATCAGGATGGAGGTCTTTTCCGTTGCTCCAGAGAATTCTCCTATGCTCCTTCCTGCCCTCCCAAGGCCACCGTCATTGTAATTTTTTCCACCGTAGATGGATTTTGCCTGTTACAGGACTTCCTGTAAATGGATTCCTATGCCACGTGATCTTGTGTGTCAGGCCTCTTTGGGCATGATGCATGGGCTCCTCAGCCAGCGCGGCCACTCTGGAACAGTAAGCAGTGTCCCTGGTAGTTCTCTGGCTGCTGGTGTGGGTTCCTGCACATGAAGTTGCTGGGAGCTTCCTGGTACACCTCTGTTTGTAAACCTGTTTTCACGTCTTGGGTAAATACCAGGGAGCGAGGTCGCTGGGACAGGGGATGGTGTATGTTTAGTCTTTTAACAAACCAGCAGACCTCCCTGGGGCTGTGCCATCTTCTGTGCATACCAACTATCAAGCACCCCCAGTTGCTCCGCCAGCCTGGAGTGGTTTTTTTTTTTAATTGGGTCCCTTCTGCTGGGTGTGAAGTAATATCTCATTGTAGTTTACCAAGAAAATTTATAAAAATTTTTTGACATAGTTTCAAACTGACAGAAAAGTTACAACAGTAGTACACAGAATTCCTGGGTGTGCTTCTCCCAGACTCCCCACGTGTTAACGCTCTTACTACATCTCCTCTCCCTCTCCTGTGTCTCTTTCTCTCTGTCCCTCTTTGCACATACGTGCACTCACACGTATACGCACCCATGTGCACACGTGCATTCACACACACGCACCCATGTGCACCCAGGTGCTCACATACACGCACCCATGCAAATGCATGCATGCTCATACGTACACACGCACCCATGTGCACTCACATGTACACGTACACATGCACCCATGTGCACAGTATACTCACATGTATACACGCACCCATGCACACACATGCATGCTCACACATACACATGCACCTATGCGCTCACATACACGCACCCATGCACACGCATGCATGCTCACACGTACACACGCACCCATGTGCACACATGCACTCACGTGCACACACCTGTGTGCACGCACCCATGCACACGCACACATGCACCCATGGGCACATGTACATGCTCACACACATGCACCCGTGTGCGACATGCGCATGCACCCATGCACACACGTGCATGCTCACATACACGCCCAGAGCACACTCACACGTACACGTGCACCCATGTGCACATGCACGCACACGTACACACACCCATGTACACGTGCACACTCACATGCACCCATTCACACACGTGCATGCTCACATACACGTGCACACTCACATGCACACATGTGCACTCACACACTCATATGCACCCATGTGCATACGCACGCACACGTACACACACCCACGTGCACGGGCACACTCACGTACACATGCACCCCGTGTGCACGCACGCACATGCACCCACGCACACGTACACATGTGCACACGCAACTCTCACGTACATGCGCACCCATGTGCACACACACACCTCGTTGCACACGCATTTTCTAAACTGGTGAGGTATAACTTGAAGACATGATGCTTTTTTACCGCTAAGTACTCGGTATGTATTTCCTAAAATAAGCACTTCTCTTACATAATAACGTGATCAGAATCTGAAAGTTCGCGTTCAGATAAAGCTACCGTGTCACGTACAGGCCTTATTGAGATTTCATGAGCTATCCCGATAGCGTCCTTTGTGGTGAAGGAATCCCAGGTCACTGAGCGGCATGAGTCGCCATGTTTGTCTCGTTCCTTTGAGCTGAACACTTTGTGAGACTGTCTTTGTATTTCATGACATTGGCATTCTTGAAAAATACAGGCCAGTTATTTGATGCTTTTGTATCAGTTTGGCTTTGTCTGAAATCTCTCAGAATGACATTCCTGTTACGTCCTTGTGGAGGGAAAACTGCCCCGTGATGCTGAGCCCTTCTCGTGTGTCCTGTTGGGAGGCGCCCGCTGTGGACCTCGTCCTAACCTGGCAGCAGTGAGCGTGTGTCTGCCCAGCCTCCCCCGTAGACTTGCTTTCACACTTCTCTTTGCAGTTGCAAGTGTCGGTCCTCGGGACCATGCTCTCACCCTTTCGCTCCCCAAACCGACGAACTAGTTTAGCATTCATCGATAATTTTTGCCTGGATCAGTTTTTTATTCTGATGGTTGGTAAGTGGTGACTGACTTATTTATATCAGAGCAGTTTGGTGCATTGGTTTCTGTTAGTGATCATTTTTAGGGCTTTCCTTTGTCTTTATAGATTTTATTCTCCTTGTCCCTGCTGCGTGTGAAACGTCAGCGTGGTTGCCAACGCACCTGCACGAGACGGTGTTTGAGAGTGTCTCCTCTCCCTCACCTCTCCTGTACTTCCTGCACACACCCATTTTCTACTGAGTTTTCGTCTCTTTTCACCTCAATTTTAACATTTCTTTAGAGAGCCCTTTGTATTTACAAATATTTTTCTTCCAGTTTTTCAGTTCTTTGACTTTGTTTATGGTGTTTTTAATCCTCACAGGCCTGTTTTTTTTTTTTTTAAGATTTTATTTATTTATTTGAGAGAGAGAGAGCACAAGCAGGGCGAGCAGTAGGCAGACAGAGAGGGAGAAGCAGGCTTCCCGCCGAGCAGGGAGCCTGATGCCGGCCTCGATCCCAGGACCCTGGGATCGTGACCTGAGCCGAAGGCAGACGCTTAACGACGGAGCCACCCAGGCACCCCAGGCCTGTTGTTTTTCAAATTTGTATTTTAGGGGCGCCTGGGTGGCTCTGTCAGTTGAACATCTGACTCTTGATTTCAGCTCAGGTTGTGGTCTTGGGGTCGCGAGATGGAGCCCCACGTTGGTCTCTGAGCTCAGTGGAGAGTCTGCTTCTCCCTTGCTCTCTGCCCCTCCTGCGTGTGCTCGCTCGCTCTAAATAAATCTTTTAAAAAAATAAAATTGGTATATTAATGTAGCAAAATGTATCACTCTCTTCTTTTATTGCAAATGGATCTTGAGTCCTACTTAGAAAGCCTTTCTCTAGCCAGGCTCAAGAGGAATTTACCTATATGTATTTTTTCTAGTGCTCGTATCCACCCGCTCAGGTATTTTGGTTATTTTTACTTTTGGACGTTAAACTTTCTCCAAATAAAATTGTACATCTCTTGGGCTGTCTGTTAGTCTGCACCCTTCAGATGGCAACCCTCTGTTTTTTTCTCTCATGACTTCCAGTGAGGTTTTTAAGTTGTTTCGGAAATACTTTCCTGAAGTTTTACCACAGCGGGCTCATTTTAAACGGACCCTTAGTCACGTGACACACGATTACCCTTTATGAGGCCCAGGCGGCTGTCCCTGGGGCAAAGGGCTCGTGGTGGAGGCGCGGACTTGGGCTGTTGACCTGCCATGGGGCCCACAGTTGTAAACTTGTTTGTTCCCCTTGACTTAGTAATCCCAGAACGGGTACTCCATCCTAACGAAATTCTTTAAAATGAGAAGAAAGCTAAATGTGTGGAGATACTATCTGAAGCAATATTTCTGTTAGTGGAAAAACTGGAACCATCTAAATGCTTAGCAAGGTTATAGCTAGTTTAGGCATGAAAAGGCCATTTGTGGGATTTTGGGGAATGCCACTGTGAAGAACAATGGAAATGTTAGCCTCTGGAAACATGCCTTTGTTCCTACAGAGGAAAGCAGAACGAAACTTATATCTGTTATGGTTCAAACGGACAAAACCTGAGACGTGCGTGGGAAGGTGTACGTAGACCTTGGGGAGCGGGATGCTCTCAGGTGAAGGGTCAAGGACGTGCTGCAGCTGACAGGTGCACGGCCTCGTCCAGCGCGGCTCCCCTGCGTGGGGTGTCCGGGAGCCGAGTCCGCAGAGCTCGTGACGGACTGCGTTGTCTCTGCCGGAACCTGACCTTTTGAGGCCATGTAGAGTGGGTATCGGGGGACATGAGGGGCTCTGTGAAGGGGAGGGTGGCACCGTGGCCTGGTGATGTGGGCGGGAGCCATGGGCATGTGATGAGGTCGGGGGTGTACGAGAGTGGCTGCTTCCGTCCGTGCAGAAGAATACCTCTTAGCGCTAACGATTGTGTGGTGGGAGTTTGGAAACTTGGCCTCAGATGGATGTGCTCTCTCTCATGTGCTCTTGCTTTTGTTTTTGTTTAAAGAACCAGCTGCAGTTTAATAGGAGCGTTCCTGCCCATTCCAGCAACTTGGCAGCCCGCTATTCTTGCCCGCATGCAATCAGAATTGAGAAGCTGAGGCAGTCGTACAGCGAGTCGTACCACCATCAGGATCTGGGTTTGCGGGATGGTCCCGACGGGAGCGGCTCTGCTTCATTTTCCATCATCTCGGAAGAGAGGCTCAGCTACGCCGTGCACCTGGCCAGGAGGGACATGAAGCGCAGACAGTTGGAGGAACACGTCAAGCAGCGCCGCCTCAGAAGTGAGCCCCAGCTCTGTCAGAGGTGGGGGCCCCATGAGCATAAGATCCCCGAGCACAGGGCACAAAGGAAGGAACCGAGGAGCCGGGACACGTGTCACTGCGCCCGCCAGCCGTCCACGGCGGGAACGTCCTGCTCAGGTGCCAAGGTGTGCCTGTACACAGCTTGTCCAGCACCATCCCCTCCGGCCGCGCCCCACTCGCCACCCACGCGTGCCCCGGGGCCGGAGCCCCCTCCCAGGACCAGCGGCCACCAGAGCCTGCTGGAAGTGCAGCGGCTCCACAGGGCATTGAACACTTGTGTCCACAAAATGGAAGCAGTCTCTGAGAAAGGTGAGAGCACCTAGACCCCCGCGGGGGAGCGGGTTAGTCCAACACGTTCGTCCAGGACCCCCGCCCCCATCCCACTCCACCCCCCGCAGTGAGCAGAACCCACGAGGCAGGTGGGCCGGGGGTTTGGCCAGAGTCTGTCTTCCCGGGGAGCTGGCCCTGCCCTGGCCCCCCTGTCGGGCAAAGGCAGCTGACGCCGCCCTATCCTGCGGCTCCCGCGGCTCCCACGCTCCCGAATGCAAATTATCCTGTTGCGTTTTGCCATTTGGCAAAATTATTTGTAACTTGCTCAAAAAAGAGCATCATATGTGCTTGTTTAGATAAAGCTGGTCGTAACGGAGCAGGTTTAGATGGGCTCGCAGCTGTAACAGGAGCTGGGGGTGTGTGTGAGGGGGGCGTCCGACCACCAGGCCCAAGGGAGGGTGTGCGGTCATCCCATACCGTTTCCCACGGTTGTTCAGTGCTCTCTCTGCCCCGCATTTCCCTGCGGAGTAGGGAACGGACTCCTTGTGGCGAGTTTGGGTTAGACTAGCAGGTCGGAGACAGGAGCCCAGCTTCCCAGCTGCGAGGAGTGGGGGTTGAGCATCCCTGGGGACCACTGCTAGGGTCCCCCCCGGGGTCTGTAGGGATCCTCTGCAGACAGGTGCACGTGCCACGAGGAGCTTAAGCTGCCTTCCCGAGATAAACGTGACCGAGCAGCAGAACAGGAATACGCCAAGTGAGGGTATGGCGGGACGGGAGAAACAGGACTCGTTCCTGAGCTTCTGAGCGGCTGGCTGAAGAGGGAAAGGTGACTATTGCAGAGCTTACAAGGTCTGCAACAGAACGTGGCTGTGTCGGGAAGACCTTTCTCCCGTGGTCTTCCTGACGAGTGTGTTGTGCGATATCGCGGGTGGTGACAGGAGTGTCGGTGTGGGCTGCTGGGGTCACCCCGTGGCACCCCATGGTGGAAGCCGTGCTGTCGGGTGACAGAGCCCTGCTCTGATGACGTGGCCTGACCCGGGGACCTTTATAGAGAGCTTCTCAAACTCTGGGGAAGGACTGGCTTGGGTGATTTCTCGTTTATTTTATTCTACTTTTTTAGGTGTAAAGAGAGCACATGCACACACATGACAGGGGAGAAGGGTCGGAGGGAGAGAGAATCTCAGGCAGACTCCCTGCTGAGCGCGGGACTCGATCCCATGACCCTGAGATCATGACCTGAGCCAAAATTAGGAATTGGACACTTAGCCCACCAATCCACTCAGCCGCCCCGCCCCTCATTTATTTGTTAGTTTAAAATTTCAAGTTGTCACAAATCATACCTTCTGAACTATAGCAGAAGTGTCACCACAATGGCAAATAGCTATAAAAACCTATATGTGCATATTTTAAATTTCTGCGCTTACTCGTCGTGGCCTGGGCACAGTTTGCCACGGCCCCCTCTGCGGACCACCCTTCCGGGGGCCCTGACGTGCCCAGGGTGCTTCCCGGCTGCGGCTCTGTAGACCCCTTGTCTCAGAACCGCCTGCCGGGTGGCGGTTTGGAGCCCCATCGGAGCAGTGTCCATGACGTTCACACACGCATGTGGCACCCGCATTTCTCCGTGCTGCGCAGCCCACACGAGACAGAAGTCTGGCTGGTTGGCCCCATGAGCAGGTGTCTGTACCCAGAACTCCCGATTTCAAAGTTTTGCTTTTCTCAAAACAAAAATTTTTTATCGTTTGGCTTCTTAATGAGTAAATGTTAAATATTTGAGTTTATAAGATACACTTGCACTAATAAAACACGGCTTTTTCTGACTTGTATCCTGGGATTTTGCATAAGAGCTTGTTTTGGATAAACGTACTGGAAAACCACTGGCTCCGGAGCGGATGCTTGCACAGCCGTCAGAGTCCCCCAGAAACCGTTTCTTTGAGCATGTGGTTTGAAAACCTGGGGCACCCATGGGTACAAGGGTGCGCTCCCTGACAAAGACGTCAAGGCTTTGGACATTCGAGCAGTCTGAACATGTTAAGAAAGGATTTCTCTTTTGGATTCAAGATAAGAAAGTATCAAAGAAATCTTGCCGAACATAAAATAGGCCAATAAAGGGTTTCTGAAAAAAATAGCGTTACAGGTTTGGGCTCAGTAGAAAGAATTTCAAAGTAGTCAGCGGTGCTTGGCAGCGGCGGAAGCTCCCGCTGGGGTCTGGTTCCGGGACTCCCGAGTGGCGGGAGCTTGGTCTGAGGTCCTGTGCCTCTTCCGACTGGGTCACACACAGGCCCGCTCCTTCCTCATTTCTTGGCTGGTGGAGAATTTTTTGTGGGAGCCCCATTGTTTTGTTTTTATAAAACTAGAGATCTTCAGCTTTATTATGTCTTGGAATAATTGAAGTGTTCATGCGTTTTTGTATGTATGTATAATCCACTTTTGGGGAAACACTGTTTTCAGGTAGAGCAGAAGAAACTTTGGATCCAGATGAGGAGCGGCGAGTCCAAGTCCGGAGGCAGGAGCAATCCGTGCGCTCCGCCCGGATGCTCTATGTCCTGCAGCAGCAGGTATGGGAGTGGGGGAGCGGCCGCCGGCCTTGGGGGCCCTACCGAGAGCTTCCCCTGCCCCGTCTCAGCAGCACGAGTGCGGTGTCCCACGTGACTCCTGTTGCGTTTCTGAGCCTGAATTTCCTGAACGTGTGGACAAGTGGTTCTTTTTGCTGTCTGCCTTCATGTGTGTTTGTGTAATGTGAATATAGGGTCGAAGTCCTTAAAGAGTGGTTTTTGGCTTTTTGGGGTCATACGTTCTTGAGAATCTGAGAGTGTGAGTCCTATCCTGGAAAACGGTGCTGGTAGAGCATGTATTTCTGTGGACAGACTCGAGTGGACCGGTGACCCTGAAGCCCCCGGGCCCCAGCTGGTGCCCTGGTGTTAGAGGGACGGGGCCTGGTCACTTTCCCGCCTGCCTCCCATCTGTGCTGGGCCAGATGCTGAGCAATGGCAGATCGTGCGGTTGTCCTGTTGAACAGTGAAGGAGGGAGGCGTGCTGAGGGTCTTGGTGAGCAGGCGTTCACGTTGTTTACGTTGCAGATAGATTGCTCTTAGATGTCGTTTTAACTGGAGCGCCTTTCTCACGAATCCACCTTTGACTCCTTTCCTGTCACTTACGTCACAGGCTGGCTTTACTGCTTGAACCAAAAGCTGAATGTTTTCCTGTAAAAGGAGAGATGCCTGAATTAGACTTTGCTCCGTGTTGTGGGGTGGTGCTTCAGTCCTCGCTCCACACTGCAGCCACTGAGATTGTTCTGGAACACGCATCTGACCCTGTCAGGGCTCTCCCAGCATGGTGCAGCCCACGCTGCAGCGTGGCCTCCCACCTTTTCTCCCTCCTGGGAGGTTCCCGTGATGCTGGGACCAAGGGATGGGGGGGGACACTGCTCCCTTCACTGTCTTGAACTTGAAGCTGGGGACCGTGTTTTGGGTCACAAGTGAAGAGCCTTGTCTCATTTCAAGTGACTTGAATTAAACAGTGATTGTATTTGGACAAGACAGATCAGTGAACGGGTCTGAAGTCTTCACTTTTTCCCCTTTACGAAACAGGTGAAAGAGATCCAGGAAGAGTTGGATAAATTGAGTCCACATAAAATCAGACACACGAAGAAGGTATGACGCAGTCTGTCATGATGGATACTGCTTGTTTATAAGTTGCGTTTCCGGTGTCTGGTGGGGATTGTGCGTGTGGGTTCTCTGCACTAACAGGTGCACGGTGCTTGTAGAGACGGGTCTGGGGTGGGGGCATGAGCCCTATCAATATCCTGCATTTGGTGTGGCCCCCCAAGGAGCAGACTCTGTTGCTGCTGGTGTAAGAAACTGATAATAGGAAGGAAAAAGCTATTTGTCAGAGAAAACCTTTGAACTTCGTAATTCCCTGCTGTGAGAAAGTGTCCGAGTACAAAGTTGTCTAGAAAGAAGACAGGCCACAAATCCTCGTGAGGGTGGGACTAATGTGAAGTTCTGAATTCTGAAATAACTGCCCCCCCCATTCATTGCCAGTCATGGGTGATGTCACGGCTGGCGGCTGCCCACCGAGGAGCCATCCGGGCCTTACAGGTGTTGGTGACACAGCTTATGGACCGTGGGGAGCACCCAGTTCCTGCGCGCTGTAGGGAGCTGGGCAGCCTTATCCGCCGGCTGTCACTCTGCTCCGCCAAGCTGGACGCTGACCCTTCCGTCCCCGATGTGGTCGTGGACATCCTGCGACAGATCGAGGTATGAAACGGACTCCAGGTTTTGTTAAAAGTGCTTTGTTTCTAAGCAGGGAGGTAATGCTTATTGTGGCCTGGTTCCGTTGGGATTTAAGGAGAAGACAAAGCTGCCACCTGGTGAATTTGAGCAGAGGACGGAGGACGCACGTCGTTTTCATCTTGTCAGCTTTACAGTCTAGCCTGTGACATTGTACCTCACTTGTTTGAGAATGGGTGGCTTGGGTATAGAACATGCATCGACTCTTAACCAGTTCGTTGATTCACCAAAAAGTTCCATCCCTTGGCCGTGCCACTCGAGAGAGGACCCGTTAGCACAGAAAAGGAGAGCAGTAACACACTCTTCGGTTAGTGTTTGGATGAGAGTGTGCGTGCTGTCTCGGTGGACTTCTGGGAAGAAGAGGCGCTTGAAGCCGTGCAACGGCTGGAGACGCCCGGCCGTCCCCTGGCAGGTACTAGTCGGGACAGAGCCGGCAAGAACAGGGTGCTCCCGTCTTGCGCCGTCCTGCCCCTGCTGCAGTGCTGCGAGCTGCACAGGCTTTATTACCGGCGCGCTGCAGATGAAGAAGGTCCCAGGGGCGCCACCGACGTTCCTCGCACGCTGTCCCGTGACTCTCCCTCGCCGGAGTTAGCTCCGACCCCCACATCTGTCCACAGGCGAAAGGCGACCTTCCTGTTGGTGGTACACGGGGGACAGGTGCGCTGGAGGGAGACTTCTGGGCTAAGTTAACTAGCCCTCGGTGGCCCCCGCGGCCCCTCCTCCTTGACCGTCGCTGGCACGGCGTGTGTGGTTTGCAGGTGGCACCGGTGCCTGGAGGACTCAGCCCAGGAACGTTGTCGGGTGCAGACCCTCTGACAGCGTGGCAGGTCATGTGGTGCTTTTTACGCTTGCCCGTCACAGACGTGGTGGGCCCATCTTCATCTCCTGGAAAGAGTTCAAGGGCTTATCTAGTCCCTTCCCGGAGTTTAAGCAGGAGCACCTTAAAGTGATGCTTCTTACACACTTTTGTCAGTAATGCGAGGAACCTTTGTCCCATTGACGGGCTTGCTGTCCTTGTGCCTTACTGTCCCTGGAGTAAGTCTCCCCGGCCACGCCCAGTTGTCTTCAGTTTGCACAGTCCCGCTGGAGGCTGGCGCTCACTGCCCACTGATGAGCAAGAGGTGCCTCTTGTAGGAATGGGGGCACGTGGGGTGGGTGGGCGGGTGGCCATGGCCCTGGGCGTGCGGTGGTTTATGAAAAGGTATGTTACACGTAGTTCCTTTGCCCACTGAAAATACCATTTGGGTGTATGAGATTTTTATCAAGAATTAAGACATCTATAAAGCATGTAGGATTAGGCTCTGAAGACCGTGGTTGGTTTCTAAAATATGGTGGACTTGGACGCCTTTAAAAGTAGTCCTGTTCTTTTTCTTTGTGCTGTTGGTTTCAGTGAGCTAAATGTGTAAAAGGACATGCAGAATTCTCTTATTAAGTAGATGTCCTCAGTTTTCCAGCTAAACGACATGCCACTGACCACTAGACATGGACGTGTAATGACATGTTGTCTGGGGGCCTGATTTTCGGGTTTGTGGTCAGCAGCGGACTTTGGTGAGATAATCGAAGACAATAATGGGCTGTTTCATGGCAGGCTTTGGAATCCCTCCTGGAGAAGAAACCGTCACCAAAACAAGTGAAGAAAAGTGTCACGGAAACTCGGAGCAGGTTTCCTGTTGGTGGCCACAGGGCCTTGGAGAGATGGCAGAGTCCTTCGCCCAAGAGTGAGAAGAGAGCCCTTGTAGCAAAGGAGACGTTTCCAGAGGAAGCGAGATGGCCTTCGGGGGCAAAACCGCTCCCTGCTGGTATGTGTCCTGAGGTGTTGACAGTGTGGCGCTTGGTTCTGGCACAGAGGCTGCGTGGAGGGAAGGTCAGGACTTAAACCCTGGTCCACAGCAGGTGCACTTGAACCCAGGGAAGCAAGTAGCAACCAGAGTGTGCCCTTGGGTGAGAGGCTGGAGGGTCCCCCGCAGAGCAGGGTCCCCTGTAGTGGAAGGAGCCCCCCGAGAGGGAGGGTCCCCTCCGCACAGAGGAGGGTCGTCCCCCGTAGAGGAGGGTGGGGCATGTCAGGTTCTCTCTTCCACATCATCACGCTTGGGTCACCCAAAGGAGATTCCTGAAGAGCTGGAAGTGAGAACCCCCCTTTTTAAACGTTTGTTTATTTAGATTTTACTGACAGGCACACGCATATGCACGGGTGGCCATGCGACGTGTGTGTATGTTTTTAGCGCAGGTAATAAATGACTTGCTGGCCCCAGAGCTAGAATTGCTGGCTTGTGCATGTTCGACGGGTAGCCAGCTTGCCCTTGAACAGGCCCACGGTGATGTTGGTGAACAGTGAGCATCAGAGTGTATTTCCCACATCCTTGCCAAGCACTTGATGTCGTGAAATTGTAAGAATCTTCCAGTGTCTTGTCCTGTCCTGGCTCAGGGAGGAAGGTCGTGGTGGGCTCCCGGGCGTGTGCCCCCTCCTCTGGGCACGCCCTCGGCCCTCTGGGGGCCGGCGTCATGCTCTTGCATGGCAGAGGGTCTTCCTGGGCCTCCCTTCTGGGTTTGCACGGATTGCAGATATTCCTCTCAGTCACTTGTTTTTGACTTGGTTTAGGATCCCTTTCCTGGAACAGAGATCTGCACTTTGTGGGCAGAATCATTGTTCTTATGTATTTTACTATTTCAGGAGGCTCCTCCTCTTTGTTGTTCTTCTTCAAATTTTGCTGATGGAGATTGCGTATCTCCAGAGGAATTTAGAAGGTGCTAGTCAGGTTCCAGGCAGAGGCCGTGGGGGGTGTGACGGGCCCCTCGAGTTCACAGGCTGGCCTGCTGGGGGGGAATGACACCATGGTGCCCTTTCTGCCTCCCTGCAGGTGAAGGGTATGGTTTTCGGCATACGAGAATTCCTGAGGTGGGGTTACTAGGAACTCCTGGATTCCTTGTTAGGTTCATGTCCAGTTTTCTCATTTTGTGGTTTTTAGTGCTACTGTGAACGGGATCATCTTTTTAGTGTGTGTCGAAGCGGGTTCTCGCTCCTTCCGGCAGAGCCGTGGGACCCTGCCCAGACCTCCGGGCGGCAACCACGCTGCGTTTCGTTGGTTCTGAGGGGTGCGGTGGAACGTTTCTGAGATTGGGGTACGTTCTTACATTGATGATATCTTACAATTAATTGGCAGTGTTTTAAAATTTCCCATTGGTGCATAAAATTAAGGATGTCTTGATGTTTTAGATTTGATGAGTAATGAGATTTTGTTAGTTAATTCTTTCGTTTTTCCAGATAGATGGGATCACCTACAAATAAGTAAAGCTCTGCTTCTCTCTTTACAATTTTTATACCTTTTCTTTTTTCTCTTTCTTCTTACCGGACAGAATTTAGTTCAGAACAATATTGGGTGATAGCTGTAGTCGGGGCATCGTTTCCCCCCAGATTTCATGGGATCTGTTGACGTGCGAGCCTCGCTGTTGCGTTTTCGCGTGTCTGAGTGCGAAGTTAGAGGAAATATTCTTCTGTTTCTTTTTCCAGTTTTGTGAAGAGATTTTCTTTTTTTCTACTTTTTCCTTTTTTGATGTTAAACTGATAGAAATATATACGTTGATAGTGTTTTAAAATAGTTTCAAGATTTTAATGTTGAATTTTTTAATGTGCCATTGGAGTCGGTGTGGACGAATCCAGTAGACTAATTTTCCTGTTTCAATTGAAGTAGAACATACAGATAGAAAAGTACACAAGATACAAGTTTTACAGCTCAGTTTATGAGAAAACAAACATCTGTAAAGCCACGACCTAAGTCAGGAAATGGGACATTACAAGCACTAAGTAATCCCCTTTTGCCTCGCCTCCTCCCCCAGATTAAATGTTGCTCGGATTTTCTGTGCTGTACTTTGGTTTTTGCCGGATCTGGAGCTGTATGAGCTTTATAGGACTAGAATTACACAACGGGTATTTTCTTGGGACCGGCCTCTTCGCTCATGTTTTGTGAGAGTCGTGTTTGTGCGGCTCGTTGTTGCGTCCCGCTGTGTAAGTGGAGCGTGGTTCTGTTGTCTTCATCATCGGGGTTTTCCCAGGTCTGTACGGTTACAAACAAAGCTGCTGCTCTTGGGTGTGTCTCTTGGTGCGTGTGTATGTGTGTTTGTGTTGGGTGCATTCCCGGGGTATCATGGGCAGCTCATAGCGGATGCGTTTGTTCAACTGTAATAGGTCAAGAGTTTTTTCAAAGTAGTGTTTCCGGTTTCATGCTGACCAGCAGCGCGTGGCGGCCGCTGCCACACATCCTTGCCCGCACTCGTTAGTCTTCGTAAGCGTAGCCTCCTGCTAGGAGCGTAGACTATCGTTCTGGTTTTGTTTTTTAAAGGTTTTTTTATTAGAGAGAGAGAGAGAGAGAGCGGGGGGGCGGGGGGGCATGGTAGAAACAGAGCGGGAGGGAATCCCAAGCCGACTCCACGCTGAGCGCAGAGCCCGACGCAAGGTTTGATCCCAGGACCCTGAGATCAGACTTGAGCTGAAGCCAAGAGTCAGACACTTAAACAGCGGCACCACCCAGGAGCCCCGGCTGTCATTCTGGTTTGATTGATTGATTGATAGATTTTGTTTATTAATTTGAGAGCGCACAAGCAGAGGGAGAGGGAGAAGCAGGCTTCCCGCGGAGCAGGGAGCCCGACACGGGACTCGATCCCGGGACCCCGGGATCACGACCTGAGCCGAAGGCAGACGCTTAACGACTGAGCCCCCCAGGCGCCCCTCATTCTGGCTTTAATTTACATTTTCTGTTTGAGGGATGATGTGAGTACGTTTTCATGTGTTTATACCCCATTTATATGCCTCCTCCTGGGAAGTGCCAGTTCAAGTCTCTTGCCCCCTCCCTCCCTCTTTCACATTTTCCTTCTCTTCCTTCCTTATTTTCTTTGTCTCCTTTTTTTTTCAAAACTGGATTTGTAGTTCTTTGTAGGAGTATTCTGCGTATGGACCCTAACTCATCTGTGCTGTAAACACGTTTTGGGAAGTAAGATACGGCTTGCTTCTAAATGTTGCAGTTGTGCCTTGATGAACAGAATTGGTAATTTCACTGTGGTCCAAGGGAGCAGTATTTTCCTGTAAGATATTTTGTGTTTGTTTTTACATCTTGTTGAAGCTTTTCCCTATGCCAAAGTTAAGAAGACCTTTCCCGTTTTTTTCCTAGAGAAGTTTCATTTGAAAAGATTATTCCTTCCCCAAAGTGGCAAAGAATGCCGCTCTTGTTGTAAATTAAGTGTCCGCACATGTGTGGGTCTCTTTCTGGGCCCCGTGTTCTCTGCCATGGATGTCGCTGCTGGGCCCTGGGCTCGTGTGCACCGTCTTCATTCTGACTCTGCCACCTGTTGTTCCGGAATGCCTTTGCTGACCTTGACCCTCAGCATTTCCACAGAAGTTTCAGAATCAGAATACGATTTCCACCCACAGCCACTCCCCCTCCCCCCCCACACAGACACAGCAACAGACAGCATCCTGGAATTCTGACGAGGGGTTAATGTCTCTAATGCTGAATTTCCCGATTCACAGACGGGGCCTCCATTTGTTTCAGGTGTCCTCAGATCCTCTCAGGTATAGACCGTGTGCGCGTGTTGGCTCTAGTGCAGTTTTCACTCGATTTATTCCGCCATGCTCTCGTGTGTGGTGTCCTTTAAAACCTTTAACTCCAGGGGCGCCTGGGAGGCTCAGTCGTTGGGCGTCTGCCTTCGGCTCAGGTCATGATCCCAGGGTCCTGGGATCGAGCCCCGCATCGGGCTCCCTGCTCCGCGGGAAGCCTGCTTCTCCCTCTCCCACTCCCCCTGCTTGTGTTCCCTCTCTCGCTGTCTCTCTCTGTCAAATAAATAAAATCTTTAATAAAAAACAAAACAAAAATAACTTTAACTCCTGACGTGCGTGCTGATACATAGACGTCTGATTTTATGCGTTCTCTCGTATCAAGCAATCTTGCTGTGCTCCCGTTTTCTAATACTTCGTCAGTAAATTGTGTTTTGCTGTGTACAGAATTGTATCATCCGTGGTTTATTTCCAGTCTTTGTTCCTTTATTGCTTTTTGTCCCATAGTCTTCTGGTTTCGTTTACACAGTCTGCAGATGGCTGATGTAAAGGTCTGTTCAGGTGTCTTGTGATGCTTGAGACTCGATCTCTCATTGGGTTTCTGCTCCGTCTGCTTGAACCCGTGCTGAGATGCTGGGCCCTCCGGGCTGTGGGTCTCCTGGGGCATTTTCCATGCCGCTATTGCTGCACACCTGTCTCCGCGCCTCGGTGCCGCTCGCCTGGATGGCCGTCTGTGCTGAGCTGGCGTGGCGCGTGCCTAGACTAGCACCCCTCTCCCGGGGCTCCATCCTCCACTGCCATTCTAGGGATTTCGCTTGTAAGTAGGCGGCTGTTGGTGAGTTTTGTCTTTCACCCAGTCAGGTCTGCCAAGATGAAGGACGCACTTGAACTTCAACCTTAGTTTGTGTGTCTCGTTTGCCAAGGTTTTCTCTGCCCTTGCTGTAATTTGCTATATCCATCAGCTTAGCCTGTTTGACTGCCTCCTCTGCTGGGTTGGAGGTTATGTTCGTTTGATCTGCGTCTCAGTCCCTGCCACTCCTCCTGTGGCACCATCTCTGATGCAGATGTCACAAAACCGAATTTGCTGGACTGCGGCTAGATACGTACTTAGCGCCGTGTGGCTCTCTCCCCTTCACCGGCGGGCAGTAGAACTCAGCCCCAAGTTGGCCCGCTTTTCCCTTACACCCCCGCAACTGGCCGGCGGCCCCTTGTGGGCCCAGAGCTAGGCGCCCGCGTGACAGGCTCCAGGAGGACGTGTGTCTGCAGGAGGACAGACTTCTCAACGGGAACCACACGACGCTGCGTCTGGGGGCCGGGGGGAGACGTGCACAGTTTCCCAGGCCTACACACAGACGTGTTTCCTAACCAGCTTAGAAGAGTACCGGAGCCATAACTGATGAGCTCAAGGTGAGCCCCTGCGTCAGAGAGAGCGGCTGGAAAGCTGCTTGTCTGAAGCTCAGCGCAGAACCAATCTGGGAGAGCAGGAAGGCGCACGCCCGCGGCAAACAGGCCAGAAGGACCGCACTGGTGACCCTGGTCCCAGATGAAGCTGAGGACTTCATCCCTCCACCTTCATTTTTCCATCTGTGAAGTGAGGATGCTGGTCCTCATCCTGCATGACGGACTTGGGGGTAAGTAGCAAATTGGATAATCACTGAGTGCCATGAAACGGCAGGTGTTTTTAGTTCCTCATGGCAAACTCAAGCTACTAAGGAAAGATTGGATTGTGATAGGCAGGTTCTAGCTGAGAAAGCAGATCTTTGGTGGCCGTTAAAAATGAGTTTCGTCCATTTCTAAAATCATAAACGATTGGGCCGTGGCAGAGTAAGCGGGCTTGCGTAGCCGGGAAAGTGTGTTTCTGTGGAGCTGTCCCAGCGTCCCTGACGGCAGAGTGGAAGGCACGGGCCCAGCCCCGGACCCGAAGTCTGAGGGTGCGGCCCTGCCCCTTGGCGGTTTGCTTCCTCATCTGTAGAACTGTGGTGGCCGTGTCCCGCCTGCTGCGCGTGCCGCGGGGAGGCCCGGACGTGGGCGCCTCTGGCCAGAGCTGAGAGAGTGGGCTGCAGATGCGAGATGGCACAGCGGAGAGCGCTGCGCACCGTGGTCTCCGCTGCTCCAGGCCGAGGGGTGGCTGTCGCCACCGGGCGCCCCTGAAGCCCCTTTTCTGTTTCCCTCCCCACCCTGTTCGCCTCCTTCCCTCGCCCACGGTCGCTCCTGTTTTCATGGTCACCTGGGCCTGTTGTTATGCTTGTGCTGCTGCGCGTCCATCCAAAGACGGTGTGTCGTTCGCTACGTCGTCTGGCACGTGTAAAGGACCCCTTCCAGGACGTGTCCCCCTTTGCTGCTGGGGGCCTCCCCCTCCCCGGGGGGTTTACGGTGATGCCTGGGTTGTGATTGATGAGTCTCACCGCCGTCTGGTTTCCCTGTGCGACCGGCCCGCGGTTTGTTGTCCGCACTCCCCGTGTTTCGCTGTCCTAAACACTGATGGTGGGAGTCCCTCTGGCCGAGCGCGGGCCCCGGGCCCCAGGGTGAGGCTGCAGCCTGGGCGAGTCTCATCAGAGCCACCACGCTGTCCTGCATCGGCGGCCGGTTCACTCCTGCACCTGCGGCTCGTGGGTGCTCTCCGGGCGCCCTCGTCTGTGCACACCCCTGTCACCCCCAGGGCCGCCTGGGGTCCTCACCTTGGACCCCTCCCCCAGTCTTATGGACGGGAAGCCATACTTGGTTGTTTCAGTTTGGATTTCTCTGATTATTGGTGACCCTCTCTTCCTGTTTTTATGGACACTTCAGATTTTACTCTCTAAATTGCCTATTTCTATCCTTTGCCTCTTTTTCTATTGGGTTATGTATTTTCCCTATAGATTTGTAGATGCTTGTAATATACCCTAGATATTAGCCCCGTGTTCATGACGTGCGTTCCTGATCTCTGCCTCAGACTCTGGCCTGTCTGTGCAGTGTTTCAGGTCTTCCTGCGGGAAGGACGCTGCCATGCGCGCTCATTGAGTGTGTCAGCATTATTCTTAGAGGCTTCGCCGCCCTGACTTCGTCCTTTCTCCTGTACTTTCTTCTAAAACCTTTCAAGTTTTCCTGTTCCATTTCTGTCTTCGTTTCATTTAAATTTAAGTGATGCTGAGTGTGAGGCGAGGCCGTGTTTTGTTTTGTCCCCGTGGCCGCCAGCCGCCCCAAGCTGTGCTGGGCCCTGCGTCAGGACGGTGGGCCGGGGACACGACCACACGGACCTCTGGGGACCCGCCCCCTCCCGCCCCCGCCTGGTGGTGCTTCTCCGGAGCTGTCTGGGCTGGTTTGGGATTGTCCTCACAAGTGTAGGATCAGCCTGTTTCAATCCACAAAAAGATCTGCTTGGATTTTAATTAAACTTGCATTTGAAATGCTGGACTACTTAGGGGAGAATGACGTCTTCACTGTGTTCTTTCCATTCTTGAAAACAACTTACTCAGATCTTCTTTTGTGTCCTTTAAAATACCTTTGAATATTTTCTGTGACTCTTACGCATCTTTTGTTAGATTTCTTCCAAAGTGCCTTACAGTTTTTGTTGTTGATGCAGACAGGATATTTTTCTCTTATATTTTCTCTAGTTATTTTGGTATGTGGGAATGATACTGATTTTCATATTTTTTCTTTTATCCAGAAACCCTCTTCCTCGTTTAACTACGTGTAGATTCTCTTGGATTTTCTGTGTAGAAAACATCATCTCATATTCAACTAAAGACCATTTTATTTTCCCGCTGCCTGTTGAACCTTGTGGATGGATGGTGGTTTTGAGAAATGACAGTTACATATTTGCATCTTAGAAAAAACACGTTTGGTAGCCCCGTGGGGTGACTGGAGACAGAGAAGGGGTTGGTCAGGAGATGCCGTTATCATAGTCACGGGATACCACACGTCGGCCCCGGGTGACTGGGGCAGGCCGTCAGGGCTGGGGTCCGAGGGACTGGGAAGGAGCACTGTGGGAGGTGAGCCTGGGCTTCAGCCGTGGCATGTGGGTCCACGTGGGAGTCACAGGGCGAGAAGTGACTTTGGCAGCAAAATGCCTCTGTGTTTATGATGTGGGAAAGACGTTATTAGGGCTTGAAGCCGACGGCCAAGAAAGAATTCTTGAGACATCTTCAGTGCTTTAAAAAAGGTGATTTTATTAAAGCACAGGTTCAGGACCCGTGGGCAGAAAGAGAGGCACCAGGGTCAGGAGTGGCGGCCCATTATATACTTTCAAGTTGGGAGGGGGTTAGGGAGAGCGTAAGTCTCTAAGGAATTTAGAAGTGAGGTTTCCAGGACCCTGAGGGGGCTAGCTATTGTTGGGAAAAGGTCATTTATGACCGTCTCATAAAACCTGAGTCATGAGCCCCTTCAGATGTCTATCGGTGGGTCATATGCTCGGGGGGTGATTGCGAACAGGTATCCTGGAGGGTTCAGAGATAAAGGAGGTTTCCGAAGGAATTTCTATATGTTAAAGTAGATTTACAGGATTGGGGCGTGGGGGTCAGACTAGAATTGCTTTTGCCCTTAGCACAGTATTTTTTTTTTTTAAAGACTTTATTTGACAGAGAGAGACACAGCGAGAGAGGGAACACAAGCAGGGGGAGTGGGAGAGGGAGAAGCAGGCTCCCCGCGGAGCAGGGAGCCCGACGCGCGGCTCGATCCCAGGACCCTGGGACCGTGACCTGAGCCGAAGGCAGACGCCCAACGACCGAGCCACCCAGGCGCCCCGCCCTTAGCAAAGTATTGATGATACAGTTTTGGGATATGGGTGAGGTTCAGTGGGGTGGAGTCAGGAGCCGACGACCAAGAAATAATTCTTGAGGCGTCTTTGGTGCAAAATGGTGGTTTATTACAGCACGGGGACGGGACCTGTAGGCAGAGAGAGCTGCTGCCCTGTGGTCTTGAGGAGTGGCCTGTTACATACTCAGGAGCTGGGGAGGTGAGGACAAAGGGGGTGTTCAGAGGGACTGTCATATGCTAAAGAAGACTCTCAGGATACTGGAGACCTGGTTGTTGTCAAGCCAAGGCTATGTCCCCCTCCAAGGAGGCACGACCATGAAGACAGTTGGGAGTTTCCTGGAGGAATGTTACATTCCTTCTATCACAAGTCCTTGTCAGTGGGCTTCAGGTTCAAAAGAAATTCGGTTTTATTTACATTTCCTCCTGCCTCAACCTCCCTCAGTTTCATGGAGGGGAGGATGCTGTTAGGGCTTCAGGAAACTGAGTTATAGGTCTTTTGATGGGAAAGCTGCTTCCTTGTAAATCACTAGGACATTTGTAAACGGAGGGAGACTCCTGTCCTGCAGGACCGTGGTCTCTGTCGGTTAACTGTTTGTTTTTCCTTTAGGGCGGCCAGGAGTGCCTGAGGAATGTCACATATGTCCCTAAGTGGGCGGGGGCGGGGGGGGGGCCTGTAGGGTACCAGCTTCTGCTTTGTCCTAAGCTTGCCTTCTGTTCCCTCATCATTAACATCGGGGCAGCTGAGTTCCTAGAGGAAGGTCGCTCAGCCTGTTTCAAGTCCTTGTCAGTGGGCTCTAGGGAGTAAGGAAATTTAATAATTTTTTCTGCCTTTGTTTCCCACATCATTTACAGGCTGGGCTAGATGTCTGGAGCTTACCTGTCTGTGGAGATCCTTGTCACCCGCTTGAGTAGCATTTCCCTCTGTTTGTCCTTCTGAAATGTCCTACAGATAAGTGTCCCCCTGGGGCAGTGCCTGCAGCGACCTGGAGGTTGGAGAATGGGCTGGATGCGCCGGGTGCGGAGATCTTTCCAGAAGAAGCCCTGTCTGTTCCAGACCACAGCACTGGCCTCCCGGCAGATCCACTGGCCCTGGCGAGAGCTGGAGTGGCAGCAGGGAGGCCCACGGCCAGGAGCACGGTGCTCGGGAAGAAGGAGGCCCAGGTGCCGGGGAGGCTGCCTCAGGTACGGAGCGGCTCCTCCCGCCGCCCATGTCCGTGGCCACCAGCTGCTCGTGGTGTGTCTGCAGAGTCCTGAGCCCACTGTCCAGACATAGTTGACTTGGCTCGGCTCTGGGTAGCTTTTGCCTTTTTAACCGAAAAATACCAGTTTTTAATACTGCTCCCAGGACCGGGCGTCTCTCTTGTCCTGGTTTGGTGAGATCTGCTTGAATTTGCTATCATGGTCTGGATAGGGCAGGCTTTTCTAAAATTCCGTTCCTTCTGCTTCTGCTTTGGAAGTGTGAGATTGGAGAGCATGAAGGTTCGTTTCCTCCTGAGGATAAATATTGATAAATAATCACTTGGCATGGAAAGGCATCACAGGGTCAGGGCTCTCTGTGTGTTTGGAAGCCAGCTGGCTTGAAGCTACAGTATAATTTAAGCTTCTGTTTACAGTGTAACTGAAGTGGAGAACCGGCCAGAAGACCGCCTCCCAGTCTAAACACCCTTAATGTGGTTACTGCCGCCGGCCGGGCCTAAGTATCGTCAGGGGCCCCCCGGGGACTGATAGGTCCTGGCTTGGCTCAGCCCCGTGGGGCGTCACCGGGCAGTCAGGGCTGGGCCTGTCTGCATGTAGCCGGCGCTCTTGCTCAGAGACAGCTGCACGCTCCTCCTCCATGAGCCCAGTCAGCCTTCTGGAAACACAGGAAGAAGTTGGCTCCCAGATTATAGATGAGGTTAGGGTAAACCAAGAATGTCATGCGATTTCTCTTTTTTTTTTTCCCTTTCATTGGGAAAGAACATGAAGATAAATATACATACATACGTATAAAAGGATGGCAAATACAGGGCGTCCAGCTTCACCCCTCCCCTGACCCCCACCCCCTCCCGGGGGAGGGAGTACAGCATGTACGCTCAGTGTGGGCACGCTCAGTGTGAGGCGAGTTCAGGCACGCTCAGTGTGAGGTACGCTCAGTGTGGGCACGCTCAGTGTGAGGCACACCTGCCCCCAGCTTTTGCCACAGTGCTTTTCACGCAGGTTCCTGGTGTAGCATGGGGATTCCTGAAGCTTCCATCGGCCAGAGGTTAAAGCGAGCTTCTTTGATACCCATCTGGCCCTGTAGTTGGTATTTATCTCTTGCAGGGACTCCACAAAGCTGAAAGAAGTAGACCAACCCAGTCCCAGAGCAGAAGCCGATTGCAGCGCACGACAGTGTCCTCCAGACTGAAAATGAACCAGCAACCTGCGAGAGACAACAGGGCCCCTTGGGTGCCTCCGAACCCCACGTCCCCACCAGCATCTCCTAAGTGGTACGTGGTGGGGTTTGTGCTCTGCAGAGCAGAGGGTCCCCTATCGCTTAGAGCTAATAAAGCAGCAGCCTTAGTTCCCAGTAAGAACAGAAGCTCATTTGGGTGAGAAATACGGGAGAATGTTTGTCTAGAAGCCTGTTGATGTCTTTCTCCTTCCCACTGGGGGTGGGGAACCTCCCGTGGGCCGCCGCGACCTGCTGTGGGTATGTGGTCCTATGTGGGGGTCACAGGCTTGCCCCTACCTGTCTCCACACAGTGGATTCTAGTGGCCTGAGGCCAGGAGCTGTGCCTTCTTCATAGCTGAATGTCCAGTGGCCGGCATATGGGGTCTCTGCCCTGACCGATCTTGGCGGGCGTTCAGTAAATCTGTGCTGAATGGATGAATATTTAAAAATAATCCTAATTTCAAGACAAGATTTTGAATTATAAAACCATGCGGATCTCACTGTTGCAGGGGCAATGAGAATAATGCTGACATTACCATCTGTCTCCACGTTACTGCACGCAGTCATGAGGCCCTGTTCCACAAAGCTAGGGGGACGCAGGTCCTGCAGGGGCCGCAGGGGCCAGTCAGGTGGAAGTAGTCTGTGAGGAATTGGTTAAGAAAAAGGGCCGTTCGTTTACCATGGGGTAGGGGTTGTTGAGAGCACAGTGGAAGGGACCAGGATCAGGCCACCAGGAAGCAGGAGCGTGGGGAAGAGGGCCAACGAGAAGATAGGGGGTCCGAGTGCCCCAGCTTTCCCGAGGCTGGCAGGTGACAAGGGAGCAGCCTGGTGGGCCGGGCTCCCCCGAAGACTTGAATGATGCTGTATGAATGGACATGCTTGCTCGTCAACCCCTCAGAGTTGAAGAAGCAACATCTCGAGAATTTAATGTCTTGCTTATATAGCAGAGCTGGATCTAAAATCAGGCCTGATTTCCTGATGTGCTTTTTTGTGTTCATCTGTTCTAAATTCTGTATTTTTTTTTTTTATTTTTAAAGATTTTATTTATTTGACAGAGAGACACAGCGAGAGAGGCAACCCAAGCAGGGGGAGTGGGAGAGGGAGAAGCAGGCTTCCCGCGGAGCAGGGAGCCCGATGCAGGGCTCGATCCCAGGACCCTGGGATCATGACCTGAGCCAGAGGCAGACGCTTAACGACTGAGCCTCCCAGGCGCCCTAAATTCTGCATTTTTATGTGTGTGTTAGTATAAAGACTTGAATTCAGTTAGAAGCTCATGAAAACATCCGTTGGTGGACGTTTCTACTGGGCTTCCACGAGCCCATGGGCTGTCTTCAGGGCGTGTGCGAGAGGGCCTCTTGAAGACCTGAAGCTACGTGTCAGTCCGTTTTCGTTGAAAACAGGGATGTGTGTGTGGAGCAGAGAAAACATGTCCCTGGGCACTGAGCCTGCTCCATGGGTGTGCTCACTCTCCTTTGCACCTGCTCCCACTCAGGTGCCTGCTGTAGATCACCGTTGACTCCCCGGGAGCCAGTGGGTGTGGGGGGCGCGGGGGGCGCGGGGGGCGCGGGGGGCGCGGTCCCAAAGCTGTGCTTTCCTGCGCTTTGCAGTGCTGCCTGGCTGAAGGTGAAGCCGAGCCCCAAAGATGCCACAAAAGAACAGTCGCTCCAGCAGGACGAAGCTCAGGAGGAGAGTCCGTTGAGGGGAGCTGTTGTGCAGGAAGCAGTTAGGTTTGTGCTGCTATTTTTCAAATCTTTGAGAAACAAAGGGCGCACCCGGGTTCTGGAGTGGACTGTCCTCACCTGCGTACTACGAATACAGCCAGTTATGTAAAGTGTCAGCCACCGGCTCTGCTGTCGGACGGCCCAGTGCAGACGGCGAGCCCCTTTCACTCTCTTCGCTCAACATCACGTGTGCCCGTTGTCCGCTGGTTGCTTGTTTTGTGTGTGGTGCAGCGGTGAGCTCTATGGAGACTTCTAGAAACAGGGCCGGAAGAATCGCAGCCCCCGCGACTTAGAGTCGCAGGAGGGGCCTGCTATCACTGATCTGGGGCAGAGCTGGAGGGTGAAGAATGGAGGCCCGGAAGGGGACGGGCTGCTTCCTGCTGCTTCCTGCTGGGCTTCGTGGGCCCCAAAACAGGCTCGAATCGGGGGTGAGGTGAGAATGTTCCGGAGGGAGCTCTGCGTTTGTGTGGCCGAGATTGTTCTTGCGTTGTGGGAAAGTGAAAATGAGCGTGGGCTGTTGTGTAATTGGACGCTAGTCACGCGTGCTAAACTGAAGGACTCAGAGCCCCCTGAGCTCCGAGGTGGTGCCGAGTTAGCGTTTCCTTTCTGGCTTTATGTGTCTCTGTCCTCCTTCTAAACTCGAAGATCCAGCAGCAGCTTGACTTTATGGTCCAACAGGAAATCCTAAGAACAGCGATGGCTCTCTTTCTTGAGGATATTCGTGGGCAGTTTTGGTGGCTGTCCACGCTACCCGGGAGTGCGTCAGCACGGCGCCTCACGTGAGGAGCTCCAGCGGTGGAGCTGGTGTCGCCTGTGGAGCCCAGCCCCGGCGCCCCTGACCCTGACCCTGGCGTGGCTGTGGCGACGGCGGCCTGTGGGGCGAGGTGGGTGGTCTGAGTCTGTTTACTGTCCACCAGACTCGCTTGGCTTGATGCTGAAGCTTGTAAAACCTTGAAGGAGCTGCAAGAACTGAAAGCTGAGGGCTCGGACAAGACGCAGAGGCAGAGGTGAGCCCCCATGTCCCAGGTGGGAGAGCGGCGGCCACGTCCGGGGGGGGGGGGGGGGCTGTGTGCACCTGGGCAGCCCCTGGCGGAGTGCACGGACAGTGTCTTCGGCACTGTCCCTGAGGCTTGCTGCACTCGCTGCTGACTCTGGCAGGACGGAGGGACTGCAGGAATGGGTAGAAAGCTGGAGTTGAGGTGGGGCTTTGCTTCTGAGCAGGAGTCGCCTGCTGCAGCTGGTCTGGGCGCTTGTACCCCGGACCTCATCAGCCTGGCCCCGCTGGACGAACGCGTGCCCACGGGATCGTAGGCAGTAGCTTTGTTACAAAGTATTCCTTCTGTGGAGTTAGATACTGAGCGGACGTTGGTGGGTTGCGGGAGCTGAGAGGTCAGCCTGGCGTCTCCTTGTGCTGCCCCCCCCCCGCCCCCCGCCCCGGTGCTGTGCTCTCGGCGGGAGGAGGTGGACGTGTGTCTGGCCATGCAGGTGCGTGTGCAGGTACTTGGCCTCAGGTCGACTCGAATGTAGAGAGTTAGTGCCTGGCTGCACGCTTGAAGTCTGAAGTGTTGTTAGCGCTCTGATGCCGTGCTGGGCTGTTTCCCGACTCTGATCATACCTCGTCCTGCGGTCACCCACACGTGTGTCTCCTGTCACCCGGCACGGCAGACGCTTGCTCCCTGGCTGGGAGGGCTCTGGCCTGCGCACGACAGGCCCCGATTTCTTTCCTCTGTAGTTAAGGTTTCAAGCTACACAATCACAGGGGCATCTGGCTGGTGCAGCGGGTTGAGCGTCTGACTCTGGTTTGGGCTCAGGTCATGGTCTCTGGGTCCTGGGATAAAGGCCGCGTCGGGCTTCCTGCTCACTGAGGACTCTGCTGGAGGTGCTCTCTCCCTCGGCCCCTCCCCCACCCACTCGCACACGTGGTCTCCCTCTCAGGTAAATAGATCTTAAACAGCTACGCAATCGCAGAACCTTAGGGTTGGAAGGGTCTTACTCCCCTGCTGGTGCTCCCAGGCCCTCCGGCCCACCTCACAAGGTAACTGCCCAGCATGGTCCCCCGGTGAGGCAGTCCCTTCCCATCCCCCTGGCTGCTGGCCTTTAGGAGGAGCCCTGAGACCCCCACCCACTGGCCCTTGGCCAGATAGCAAGACAGGAGCCCGCCGTGCCCCGTCATCCCTTTGGGTGGTCCTACGTGATAAACGCACGCATACAGCCCAGAATACTACAAAAGGAACGTCCGTGCACCAGCATCTCTAATCCGGGAATGGGCCCTCACCGCATGTCCCTCCTCGGTCCCTCCTCCGTCACCTGTTCCTCCCCCAGAGCGAACCACCGTCCCGGCTCCTCCGTTCATCTTCTCATCACCCCCACCCGTAAATCTACCCCCTATGGACGTGTCCCTGACGGTTTGCTGACACGGGCCGGGTCATGGGCAAGTCCTCATGCAGGGGGGCGGCACGCCGGGTCCCGTGGACTTGTGGCGGTGATGCCCTGTGTTCAGTGCCTGTTCCCCGACCTCGCTGACATTTGCTAGTGTCTGTGTGCTAATTCTGGCCACTCAGGTGAGAGTGTCGTGGTGCTTCGTGGTTTTCATTTGCGTTTCCTTGCAGTCGACTGAGGATGTGAAGTGTCCGTTGTGTTGATTCCTGAGGCCGTTTACTGTGTTCTGGGCGTGAGCTGGTGTCAGACAGACGTGCAGCAGCTGGGGCTTGCCTGTGTGTGAGCTTCCTGGCGGAGTCTCTCGATGAAGAAGTTGTTTCAGGTTTTGACTCAGATCAGTTCATTGACGTTTTATCTGACGGTGGGTCTTGTTCTGTGAGTGGTCTCAGAAGTGCTGGCCAACGCTGGGGCCCCAGAAGATAGTCTGTGCTCTCTCCTATGTGGTCTGCTCCTGTGGCCATGTTCGCATGTCTGCGGTCCATCCTGAGCCAGTTTCTGTGCCGGACACCAGCTGCAGCTCCGTGTGTGGATATCCTCCCAGAGACGTGCCGTTCCAGCGCCGTCCGCCGGGAGGGCTGCTGGGCCTGAGCTTTACTCCGGGGTGTGGCTACACTGCTCTCGAAGGAGGCTTGTTGGTTGTTAGTCCTTCCCTCGGGGTGGGTCAGAGCATCCAGGGCAGAGCGGTGTGGCCTCGCGCCCGGACGGTGAGCATCAGGCTGCCAGCGTCCCAGGAGCGGCCAGCCTGCCTGCAGGTCCACAGACGCTCCAGGCGAGGAGCAACCAGACCTCTCTGAGTTGGAGAGGGGCCCCAGGGTCCAGCTTCTCAGACGTCACCAGGCTCCTGTCTCCCACATTTAGGCCGCCCCCAGGCCCCCATGTGCCTGGTCCCACCAGCCCTGTGCCTGTGAAGTCAGCAGGGCACGCACGTGGCCTCTCCGCTTTCCCCATGACCGGCCTAGAGTTCAGCTTGGTCTGCTCAGCGCCGTTGGTTACCACGCTGTGTCCTGTTTCCCCTTGTCTCCGGGTTTGTGTCTGACTCCATTAAAGCAGGGTTTGGAAAGGGAACAAAATTAGTTTGATTGGTTTGGTCTTCTGTCCTCTGTCGTGGTTTAAAGGCAGCCATTATTCTTTGGAAATGTACTGAGAGCCTAACATACCCATCGAGACGTCCGGAAGTGCCCTCAGCGGGTCCTGAGTGGCGGTGGTGCGGCACCTGGACGCTTGCTGGAAATGCAGCATTGCAGTCCCCTGCGAACCTGCCCTTTAACAAGACCCATGGGACGTCGCGTGGCCGCCAGGATTAGAGAAACTCTGTGGCTTTATATGCGTTTGATTTTCCTCCACTTGCAGTAGTACCTTAAATATACAAAATAGGGTATTTTCTTGCTTTTGATTTTAATTTTTGATTTTATTTCTACATAGTGTCTCAGACACCCAGTTAGCAGACAAGGTAGAGAAGGCGGTCCTGGAGCGTTTGAAGCCTCTCCTGGTCAAGGCCCAGGTAATCCAGTTGCTTGCCTTTGGAAGTGTTAGAATAAAAGGAGGCCCTTCGTGAGGCCTCGTGTCCACCTGGCAGCTGGGGGCCGCCAGGCCGAGCCGTGCTGTGTGGTATAGGTGCGGCGCTGCTCGGCCCCTCTGGGTCTACGGATGGGTCTAAGGTGCACATAAGGGACCAAGACAAGGGAAGAGAAAGTCCCGCTTTTGAGAAAGGGGAGATTTTATTTAGGGAATGAGTTTAGGTTCCAGCTTCCATTGTTAATGAACTAAATCTGTTGGTGATGTCAGTGTTCTGTTAGCTGCCTCTGCACAGGTCCTGGGCTCTCTCACCTCCGTGCTCTGGGGTGATTGGCACTATTTCCCGAGGGTGAGCGCCTGTGCACAGATCGTCCCTCTCTCTCCCTCGGGGAGCGGGGAATGTGCAGTGTCACCAGCAGGTGCCACCCTCCCGTGGGCGGTAAGCTGGACGTGCCGGCCCAACCCTGCAGGTGCACTGGTCGTGGAAATAGTCTTGTCTTTGTGGACATTGGGGCCACAGGGATATCATAATCTTATGTGGAGCGAACGATGTTCTGGGTCCCTGAGCGGCCCCTGAAGTCTGTAGCTCTGGTGTGAGAAGCGTGTCATTATTACGAGGGTCCGGGACATGTCAGGAGCAGAGAACCATCCACCTCCTTGTTTCGTTGTTGAGGGAGCTGGAACAGATGTGGGGTGATTGCATAAAGACACACAGCTCCTCGGACCGTGTTTCCAAAGTTGAGTGAAGAAAGGGGACAGAAAGCCAAGATCAACACAGCCTTTGTTTTCACGAGGACACAAGCTGGGAGTTGCTGCAGAGCCTGACGTAGCCAAAGCCGCTGAGCGGCTCCGTGCACAAGTTAGTCTCGTAACGGTTTGTACCAGCGTGGGTTATAGATTTTGACAGTTCATGCTTGTCTGTTTTAGCAGAGAGTCAACTCTTCTCTGGAAGCAGATCCTCAGCTGAGGGACCGCCCATCAGCAGACACGGCGACCGCCCAGCCCACGGAGGAGGTGCGTGCGCGGTGGCCCTGCGGACACCACTGTCCTGTCGTGAGAGCGTGCCGGGTGGCGAGGGAATGACACAGGTTCCTGTGAGCGCGGGGGGCCCTGCTCAGGAAGGGGGACGTGACGGTTCCTCTTGGCTTGTTGACGTTTATGACGGAACTCTCTGGAGCCGCAGGGGTCTGTCTGTGGCTCTGTCCTCTCCTGGGGACGGGATGGGGCTGCAGTGCACGGCCCTGAGTGCGGGCGGCCTGAGGTCGGAGAGCAGCCGTCCTCTCGTCCTGCCACGCGGCCTGGCTTTGCTCGCAACGGGCCCGATGCTCACTGTTCGGCAGGCATGTTTTGAGTGCCGGACAGCGACCAGGACCTTGCCTAGCAGACAGCAAACGGTAAGATGTGAGAAGCACGAGCGCACGTGTCGTGGTTGGGCAGCCTGCACGTCCCCCTGCAGGACCTGTGTCTGGCGTGTGTGGGAACGATCCTGTCTCACCAGGACTTGGGCTGTGGGTGGGAGTCTCAGGCCGATGCCCTGAGCCTGCCGGGTTGGAAAGCAGCTGTTTGAGCTCAGAGCACACACGGGGCCGAGCTGGCGTGCGGGGTCAGGGTGAGAGGTGGTGGGACGAAGCTGCACCAGCCCCGTGACCTGGGATTTGGAGAGTGTGACCCACTCTGCGGATGGGGCAGGTGCCTGGCTGCAGCGCAGGTGCGTGGTCTTTGCGGCTGTCACTTCACTGCACCAGCATCTCATGGTGGAGTCACGGGTCAGGAGGCTCCTGAGCCTGGGAGCTGAGAGCCTGCCCGGAGCGCGCGCAGACCCCCGTGCCTCGCGCAGCCCGGCCTCCAAGCGATCCTTCCCTCCTGGTGGAGCCTCTCAGCCGGGGCGGCATCCCTGAGTGACCGTCAGGGCTGTCAGCGGAGTCCATGTGTTGAGGGCTACCAGCCTCGCACATGAGAGTCAGTCTGTGGGCGCTGGGTGGTCTTGAGACTGAGTGAGAAGGAAAGCAGCTCTGACAGCAGCTAGTGCCCTGGGGTAGGTGTGGGCATCACCATGGAGGTCCCCAGGTGGCACGCGGGAGGGTGTGTGTGTAAATAACTGAATAAAAACGAACAGGGAGACTCAACTGAAGTCGGCATGGTGATGTAGAGAGGAGCGTTTTCTGTGTTAACTTGTAAAACTGTGGGGCCTCCACGCAAATTCTCAGAAGCCCCATCTCTAGAAGGGAGGAGACGTTTGTGGCCTTCACACACAGAATATAGCTCTCGACGGGTCCACTTGCCGACACGACCGTCTCTGCTGTCAGGAAGGAGTAATGCACCTTTGTCTGGCCATGAGCTCAGCACCTGAAATGTAGCTTTCCAAGATGCTCCAGTTTTTTTCTAATTTGAAAGTTATATATATGCACATGGCTGGCTAAAAATTCCAATAATTCAGCAGAAGTATGATATAAAAGTTAAACCATTCTGTGAAGGAGCACCGTAGGCTTTCGGTACCCGGCTTCTTTCTTTATATGCCAGTGAGCTCCGTATCACTGTGGCGAGAGCTTTCTTGTCTTTTCCAAGGGCACACGGTATTCCTGATGTTCCGTTCTCTGTAGATGAAAAATCTCACCCGTGCAAATACATCTGCATTAACTAGACCCATGTTCCTGGGTTCCTCTGCTCTAGATTCTTTTGTAACTGTTGTCTGAGTATTCAGCTGATATTAACTTACGGTTGGGCGTTTCTTCATATCTTTATTGGCCGTTTATATATATATGTATATTTTCTGATCCGTTAGAAGGTTTTTCAAATTGCTGTGGCGGGAACTGTTCATGGCATGTCCCACATGCACGTGCTCGCGCAGCTCTTCCAGCTCTGAGATGGGACTGTTCCTGTCTCCTTGATGGGGATGAGAGCAAGGCACAGGGGCTCATGCACGCTGCCAGCAAGGTGCAGCAGAGCCAGGACCCCGCGTCCCACAGATGGCTCCTTCCAGAGCCTGAGGCCGTCACTCCCCGCAGACATTCCTCGCAGAGCCTCTTTCAGAGTAGATTATAGACCTGTCTTAGAATCAGAAGAACTGGAGCGTGTTTAAAATCGCTTTGCAGACTGCCAAGTGCTTTGTGAACATAAAGAATACGAGGTCGAGAGAAGCTAGTAAAGCTCTCCTGGGTTAAGGTAGAAAGTGTCGAGCGAAGGGGCGGAGAATGAGGCTCGTGATGTCACGAGGACAGACCCGTCGTCTGGGGGCCGACACTGAGCTGGCGGGCTCTTTCTCTGGGCGCGGCGCCAGGAGGACGCTTGCCTTACCGGCTGGCGGCTGCTTACGGTCAGCTACCTGGTTCGTGGCCGCGTCCGAGCGGCTCGTGGCAGCTGTGCCCGTGGGGCTGCCTCGGACTCGCTGGTGCAGGAGGGGGGTGGTGCGCGGATCGCCCGGGGCTGCTCTCCGTCTTCAGGTCTTTCATTGCCTCTCTGCTCCTCCCTTGCTTCGCAGGCTGCGGCTGTGGACCGTGAGCCCCGCAGCCTCCGCCAGCCGGGGGACTGTTTGGAAGACGCCGCTCACGGGCCCTGGGCCACGACCCGCCGTAGGGTCTCGGAGTTGGAAGCCTCCGCTCCCGTGGAGGATGGCAGGGACAGCCCGTATCTGGAGACTCTGATGCTGCGGATGGAGGAGATGGAGGTGAGGTTTGGGGCCACCCCCCATTCCCCTGCAGCCTGGGCGTCCATCCCAGCCTGACTGCAGCCGGTGCAGGGCCTCGCGAGAGTCACTTGCCCTCCCTAAGAGTCAGGGGTCTTTGAGGCTAACAGGAGGTGTGAGGTGTCGGCACCCTACGGGACGTGGAGCTCAGGAGGTGAGGTCATTGGTTTGGGAACAGCCCTGGCACCAGAGCTGGGACCAGCGACTTCTCCACCCACCCCGGCATGGGGTCCCCGCAAATCGCAGACCATCCTCCTTACTTCCCACGATACCACCACACAACGCTTTTGTGCTATGAGTGTAGACCTCCCGGCGGGACCCAGCCGGGGCCCTGGATTGTCCAGAGCAGGGACCTGAGGCGTAACGAGGGAGTGAGCGGTGCGGCTATGGCTGCCGGACCTGGGCCGGGGCACCAGGTCTCCTGACCCCCACCCCAGCCGGTCACGTCGAAGTGCACCATGACTGAGTCTCTGTTTGGATTTGCTGCTAAGGAGAAACATAGGGAAGACCATCTTTTGTTGGTTTTTGAAAACGTAAAGATGTCGTTCACCCCAGTGCCAGCACGGTCCCCTTCCCGGGGGTAACCGTCCGGGCCTGCAGCGTCCAGAGTGGCCGGCTCTAGCCTTGCAGGGTGATTCAAACGTAAATTCAGATGGAGCCCATGGCTCACATTAGAAGTGGTCAGTGGCACACGGAGCAGGTCCCTTGTCATGGCAGGTTCTCGTGGCCAGTGTTGGTCTCCGTTAGGTTAGATGAATTGCTTCATTTAATTTTAGACTTGGCCTTGTAAACGCGCCTCACCTCCTGTTTCGGGCACAGTGCCTGCATCATATGGGTGAACTGTTCTGGTGTGTAACAAAACTACTCTTTTCTCATGAATTAAACTTTTTTTTTTTTTTTTTTTTTAAAGAAATACCAGGAGACAGTTCGCCAAAGATACAATAAAATTGAATATGCTGATCCTCATCTTTGGATGCAGGAAGGGAAGATGGGTGAGTGTTCCCCCCCCATGCGTTCCCCCCACATTTATTCTGCAAGGCTTCAGACGTACAGGAGAGTTGCAGACCTTTGGTGGTGGACACACGCGTACCCGCTTGCGCTCCCTCCGTCCTGCCAGTCGCCCTGCGTCTGGGCGCATCTCGGAGAAAGTTCCAGGTGTGGCAGGCATGACCCCGAACCTTGCAGTGTGTGTGTCTGCGGCTAGAGTGTCATGTTTCTCTGTGGCTCTTTTTCCTTTTGAGATAAAATTTACATGTAATAAAAAACACAAATATCAATCGTGTCCTTAGATGGGTTTTGACAAATGGAGACACAGTGGGCTTCTCATGTGCACACATGCCTCTGATTCATCCACCAGCCTGTGGAGCCACACTTGGTTCTGTCCAGTTTGGGGCTAGGAATCGGTGTGCTGTGAGAATGTTCGTGTGTGGTCTTGTGTGGACGTAAGTCTTCCTTTCTCTTGGATAAACACCTGAGCAGACTTGCCAGGTCCCGGGACAGGTGTGTGTTTAACTTTGTAGAAAACTGCCAAACCTTTCCCCAGGGCGGCTGGCGGTCTGTGATTGTCGCTGTGGTGATGGGCGTGGACTGATGTCTCGTGGTTTTAATTTCATTTCCTTGATGAATGATGATGTTTAGAACATTTTTATGTGATTATTAGCCAGTGGTGTGTCTTTCTTCATGAGGTATCCAGATATTTTGTACATTTTTAAAAATTGGGTTGTCTTTCGGTTTTGAATCATGGGGGTTGTTTGTGTGAACGTTCTGAGACAAGTTCTTTGTCAGATACATACGTTGTCCGGTTTTACTGAGATGTGATTCACGCTCCTTAGACTCACCCTTCAGAGCACGCAGCTCAGTGGTTTCTCGTGTGTTTGCAGAGCTGTCTGACTCCAGAACACGTTCATCCCCTAAAAAGCCCTGTGCGTGCAGCAGCCCCCCACCCCCACACCCCTGCCCGGCCCCCACAGCCACGTGTCTCCTCGGACAGATGTTTGCCAATATTTCCCCCTATTTTCTCAGGTGTATTTTGTTATAGGAAGACATTTCTTGCTTCAAAAAGTCTAACATCAATTTTTTCTTTTTCTTTTTTGACCTAAGAAACCTTTGCCTACCCCCAAATTGAGAAGGGGGTGTCCTGTTTTCTTCTAGAAGCTTTATGGGTTTAGCTGTTGTGTGTAGGGTCCATCTCGAATGAAAGTTGGCCTGTGACGTGAGGTGGAGGTGGAGGTCCGTGTTTTGTTCTCCTAACGGACAGCCCTTTGTTCTGCGGCCGTCTGTAGAGAAGACGTCCGCTTCCGTCCTCCTCCTGCAGACGGACACAGTGGCCGGGCTCCTCTCACACCTGCGGCTGGAGTGTCGCTCATCAGTGGTCGCCCTGTGGCCGTGGGGAGGCGCTGTGCGCACAGGGCGTGAGCATGGAGCATCGGGGTGCCGGAGGCCTGCCGCTGAGCTGTGTCATGTACGGCTCTTTTAAAATAGGGGTGCAGGGTACCATCTTGGGGAAGGTGCTGGCCAGGCCACATCCTGACAGAAAGATGAGCCACTAAGCACAGCGCTGTGTCGTGTTTTCTGTGATTCTCAAGCCCCTGCCCTCTGCTCCTGGCTCTGTCTGCCCTCCGGCTGTCACGGTGACCTCACACAGCCACGGAGCCGCTGCCTGCCCCGCTCTGGAGCTTGGCTTCTTCCTCCCTCCCTGGCCTGCGAGCTCCCGTGGACGCCTGTCGTGTCCACTGTGTGTCAGGGCCACTGGTGGACGGATCTCGTTTCCCAGCTAAGCCACAGATTTGAGGCCAGACGACCCTCTTCCGTGCGGGCCCCTGCGTATTCTTGTGTCCTTGGCATTCGGTGTCTGTTGGTGTGGGAGCAGAGGGCGCGCCGAAGGCGGCTCACTCCGCGGACGGTTTGGCTCCTGGCCGCGGAGTGGGGTTGCATTGTGCAGAAGCCGGTCTTCCCCAGGACTCTGTGGTGTTGTTTCAAGGACAGTGTAGTTACTCGTCTCCGCCCATGCGTGCGCGAGGCTGGGTGTGCCCCGGCCGGGAGCGCGGTAGAGCCCGAGAGTGACACCTGCAGGCTTGGTGAGTCCCAGGAGGAACCCGGTTTCTGTTGCTCTGGTTGTGTGCTCGTTGTCAGAACCACACTGAGCGTCTGACCTCTGCTCGTGTGAAGAGTGCACAGCTGTCCTCAGGATTCTGACACACGCTGACGGGTGTAGCATCTCCGGCACATGGGAAACTATAGGTGTATCCGAGTGACTCCTACTTACAGGTGCTCCTTACCTGAGAGGGTCACACGTTTTCTTCCTGTACTTGAAACACACTTAAAATTTTAAATGACCCAAAGCTCACAAGAGCTGTCGAGCCTGCAAGGTCTAGGTAATACGTTAATGTTTTGACTGTTGTTGCGGATTTTTCCCAGTAGCTAATTAAGTGTTGAGCTGTGAATGCTTTTTTCCTTCCCCGGTAATGAAACCGTTTAAAGGTTAAAACACAAACCCACAAACCCACGTGCTCAAGCCTCCTCCAACGGTGACCCTAACGGGGGCCTGCAGAGCCTGGGGCTTCGCACTGACCTCGTCGTGGAGCGTCCTCCGAGCTCATGAGGCTCGTGATTCCTTGTTGTGACTTTAAATTCGCCTTTTCTTTGCAAACCAGAGCATTTTTGCATGGCCGGCCACCCCGGTCAGGTTTGAGAGATGGGCCTGGGAAGCACGCCGGCTCTTCACTCTGTGTGGTCACTGTCTGCCTCTCTTCTAGAGCACACACTCCCAGCAGTAAGTGAAAGGCCTCTTTCTCCTCATCCAATCAGGATCACAAAGACCCCAGCTTGCAAAGACCCAGACGTGAACATCGTGTTGGAAAGACCCCGGAATGGCAAGTGAGTGGCACTGAGACCCACATCAGACCCGTGTCTGCACGCTGGCTTGCCTCTGGTGAAGCATCAGGGCCCTTTGATTCCCACAAGACAGGGCCCGACCTCCCCGAGCTCCAGGAAGGCCCCGTGACATAGCGTGCTTGTGAGGCGGGCAGGCCATGTGCCATCTCTGCGGGCGGCCACTATCCCCTGGCTCGTCTTTCCCGGCGCAGCATCATGGGGCCCTGGGGCCGTGTCCGTCCCACTGCACACCTGCCTCGAGCACTTTGGCCTCTGGGACAGGGACTCCCGCCACAGGCAGGGTGGTCAGGGCGCGGTGGGGGGTGTTGAGTTCATTCAGGTGGAAGGAGAGAGACCGACCTTCGCCGGTCCGTGCGTCGGGTGGAGGGAACCACTCAGCCTTGTGTACAGTGATCTGAATGCTCTCCCTTCTTTCTCTCAGTTCCCTGGATGAAAGTGTGGGGACTGACGAGGGGTCTGAGAAGAGAGGGGCTCCCATTGTGCCCCTTCCAGAGGAGAGTCCACAGAAGGAAGGCCGGGCTGCCCTGTGGGTGCCCCCGGGCCTACGGCAGAGCATCGGTGACTACTGTAGCCGCTTCGAGCAGTACCTCCGCCTGGTGGCGCACGAGGCTGTGGGTGCCTTCAACCCATGGCTGATGGCCGAGAGGTCAGTACAGTGTCGTGGCCTCCGCCTGGGGACCAGGTGCCAAGCATGAGCTCACAGAGGGGCTGTGGTCACATCACTGGTGTATTTGTTCCGAGCATGAAGCTTCCTTCCCTCGTGGGGGTGGAGGGGGGTGGTGGCTGCGCTGTGGGAGCGGAGGCGGGGAGGCCCCACCTGCAGACTCGCCCCCTCCTCCGTCCACTGTTGGCGGTACTTGGACTTGGCGTGAAGCCGGAAATGACGGCAAATGGGAGAGTAGGGGCGTCGGAAGCCATCGTGCAGCCAGACGGATGGCGGAAGGCCCAGCCACTGGGAGTGCCATGGAGACCAGGGACGAGGGGCGCCGGGCACCCACGGGTGGAGGTGTGGGTGCGGGTGAGCATGAAGGTCGGGCAGACTCTGGGAAGCAGGGTAAAGCTTCAAACCAAACAAACCAGAGTGAGTGTTCTTAGGAGTAAAGGACACAGTCACACCAGGAAACGCGCCCAGGATACCATGAAAAAGGAGCTTCTGAAGAATGGAAGTAAGTTCTAAGAAATTAAGAGTATCACGGCCAAAGTCACTGGAGAGTTTCAAGAAAAAAGCCAAACCTCTCAGAAGTAGAACAAAGCAAGCAGGCAATAGAAAAGACAAGATTTCAAAAATTCGCGCGTTGTTCTAGGAGTCGCAAGTCTAGGAGACGTCATGGAGCCGTGGCTTCAGCAGCTGGAACGGGGGACGTCTGAGGCCAGGTGTGTGGGTGGCCTGCTCTCTGGAGAGGTGGTGGCAGTGCCCCCAGGTCTCCTTCCTACAGGGGCCTGGACGCCAGTCCGCCACCTGGGGCTGAGACTCCGACACGCTTCCTTTGCGGGGACACAGATGTTCGGCCCGTGGCGGCAGCATCTGACGGTGGGAGCTGCATCCGTGAGGACAGGGTACTACAGGGAGGGAGACTTTGAAGGAAACACGGTAGGAAGCGCTCCCGGAGGCTGGCCGCCTGCAGTGAGTGTGTGAGTGAGGAGCGAGGGCACAGACTGTGCAGAGCGCACCTCGGGGCATCCTCACGGAAAGGCGTGTGAGCATCCCATGTGAGGAGTGGGTGACAGAAGGTTCCGGAGAGTGCAGTGGGCCCCTTCCAGGATCAGAAAGAGGAACGGCATGTTGTTTTCGGGAGGACACCACTAGAAGATATCAGAGCATCCCCCAAAATCTCCCCTCGAGTTCCATGCTCAGCTAAGCTGTCCGTTAAATGAGAGGGCAGAGTGGAGACACGTGCACGCGCGGTGTCCGGAAATTCGGTTGCCGGGCGGCGTTCCTCACTGAGCTCCTGGGGGGCTTCTGTCACCCAGCACGGCGTGGGCATCGAGGAAGGGAAGACAGGACTTGGGAAGCGAGACTCTGGCGGGGAAGCCATCTCCACGTGAGCAGTGCTTCAGTGAGCATAGAGAGCGCCCGGCCCGGTGGAGGGAGGACGGAGGGCCGCGGAGGGACGGCGGGCGGGTCACAACACGTAAGGCACCCAGGGCGTCTGGGCGCATGGGGGCACCTTTGCATTTGTCTCATAGTTTGGGGTGGGTGAGTGCCAGGAATGTCGAAAGCACAGTGGGTGATGCTGGTCGTGCTGCCTCCGGGAGTCTGGACGACCTCCCACTCACGACAGGCAGAGTGTGTGCTCGACGGCATTGCAAGCTGCTAGCTGACGAAGAGCCGCAGGCCGGGCCCCCCCCCCCCACCGATGGTCAGCCCGATGGAACGGGAGCCCTCTTGAGGCCTTTTTCAGACGGAGCCTGGAGCAGGGGGCCCGGGACTTACTGCGGTCACCTGTGAACGCTCACGTGTGACTGGGCCCCCGAGGGCGGCACTCCAGGGGGCAGGACGCAGAGGGGAGGGCAGGGCCCGGGGGTGCTGCACACACGGCTGGAACCTCAGAGGGGCCGTGGCTTCCAGAAGGTTTATAAGCCCCGAACACGAAAAGTGAGAAGAAATCTGTACATAGGTGCATGTTACAGCATTCTTAAAACGTCAAAGCCAGAAAACGTTAAAATCATTCGGAGGAGGAAAGAATGGGAAGCAGAAAGCTGGAGGCTGGAGGACGCGGCGTCTTCTGAAGGGAAGAGGGCCGCCGTTCCAGAGCTCGGTGTGTCGCGGACGTAAGAGGGTCCAGACGAGCAAAGCGAGGACTTTGTCACCGGCCGCTTCGCCGTGGAAAATCGCGAACGGGTGATCCCCAGGCAGAGCAGGAGTGGTGCCAGGGGAGGGGTCGGTGCGTGGGGGACCGCGTGGTGGCGGGGCGTGCGTGTGCATGAGGACACCCACCAGTGTCGCGGCGGGAGGAGCGTGAACCGCCGAGCCTCTGGGCTTGTCTGGGGAGACGGTAAGAATGTCCGTGGTCAGGCTCGACGGCAGCGTGCCCGCAGAAACGCAGAACGGCCGGTAACGCAGAGCGGAGTGTGCAGCGTCCAGGGTAGCAGCGAGGAGAAGGGGTCATAGAAATGCACAGAATCCAGAGACAGGAGAAAGAGCAAATGGGCAACGAGAAGATATTCTGTGTTTTACTGGCAGGAGCTCCAACGTATCGGAATTACACTAAATGTTTGCCTCGCCCGTGTGACTCTGCCCGTGCGACCCGTGTCCGTCCCCCCAAACTGGCGAGGTCAGGGGAACCCCCCACCTCGGAAACGCGAACCTCACGGTATTCCTGTCAGTAACATGATCTCGGGAAACGGGCAGATGGCAACGCGTCTGAGCAGCTTTGAACACGGTGTGTGCACCCTCGGTAGAGACGGGAGAACAATGGATGCACCTTAGTTTCCGCTCTGTGGGTGTCTCGCGCGGTGGCCTGGGCTTGACGGCTGCTTTGGCCTGTTGTAGGGTTGATGGGGTTAGTGCGTGCATCCGCGCACCTGACGGGGAGGCCAGAGCGAGTCGTCCGCTGAGCTGGGGAGTTTGCAGCCCTCATGGATACGGGGTGCATGCGGTATGTGTCCGTGTGTCCGTCTGGCCCATCTGCTGAGGCTTCCACGCCGCGGCCCCAGGGGCACAGGGCACACTGGCTCCCGAACGCCGTTCTCCCCTCGGGGATACGGCCCGTCAGGGGCTGGGAGCAGGCATGACGGCCGAACCATGACACCAAGTCAGGAAGGAGGGGTCGGAGGACCAGGGGGCAGTCGAGGGGACCCAGGAGCAGCGGGGGTATGGGTGCTGGCAGCCCGTGTGCGGTGCGACTGTCAGAGGATCAGTATCCGCACAAATGATTGGAGTCAATGCCGGAGTCTGCGAGGCTGAGCTGCTAGCAGCGGGGGAGGGAGGGCAGGGCAGGTGCGTGTCTGTCCGGGAGGGAGAGCGCCTCCCACAGCCATCTGACGGGAGCCGGGGCCATGCTGCGGGGCACGGGTGCACTGAGGGACAAGCCTCCCTCCTGTGGCCTGAGGGACCGTGAAGAAACCTCACACAAGCCCAGGTTGAGGGACGTTCCGCAAATAAAGGCCTCCTTGCTCTTTTGGAAAATGTCAAGGTTGCGAAAGACAGGCTGGGGGACGCCTGCAGACTGGCGGGGGGCCCGGAGAGGCGGGTGGCGGGCAGCGGGTCCCGCCCCAGAGCGGACGCTGTGTCGACCCTTGGCAGACGTGAGCACGTGTCCCGTCAGTGGCAGCGTTGGGGGCCCTGTGTCCGAGGAGGTACCCGAGGGGGGCGCTGCGTGCGCAGAATGTGGACGCCAGGCCCGGGTCCAGGGAAGCGGGGCCTCGAATTCGCCTGTGAGGCTCGGGGCCGCCCGCTGGGTGAGTCCCGGCTCCCGTGGCTGTGCGCCTGCAGCTGTGTTGTCTGTCTTCCAGCTTCTCCGACGAGCTGGTAGATGAGGCTCTGGGGGCCGTGGCTGCGGAGCTGGAGGACGCGTGTGAGGACTATGCAGAAGCCATGTTCACCTCGGAGTTCCTGGAGGCTGCGGCCTGAAGGTGCTCCCTCCACGGGGGGCCTCCTCCCCGGGGCCCCGGGCGGTTCGGAGCCCAGCTGTCCCTCTGTGCCACCGGGATGCTGCCCCCCGGGAGGGGGCCCCGTGCATCTTCTTGTCGTGGCGATGGTTCTGGGGCTGACGGCGGAGAGCGGGGTGTTTCCCAGGGCCCGGGAATCGTGAATTATGACAATATAATAGTTTCTCAGTGTGTAATTTTCCTATTAAAGTCCTATGCTCGTTCGGTTGCTGAGTTGGTGATGCGAGCATTTGGAGAGGCGCCAGCCGGTGTCTCTCTCTCGAGGGCCCTGAGCTCCCGTCACCCTGAGCTCGCTGCTGCCGGGACAGGAGCCCACCCGCCCTCCACCCCTGCCGGTCCTCTGTGCGCGTTGCGGTCCGCAGCCTGTTCTCGCCGCAGCGGACGTATCCTGATGTGCAGACGGTGTCGGGACGTGGGGGCCATTGGAGGCCGTCGGGAGGGTCCTGAGCTGGCGTCCCTGTGTGCGGGGCCGGCACTCCCACGCCTGCGGACCCAGGGGAGCCTGGGCAGGGGGAGAGGACCGGCCTGGATGCGGGAAGCCCTCCGGGGCCCCCGAGACAGGAAGACACGTAAGAGCCACAGTTGCACGGTCCTCTCGTCCTTGCCAAGCTGTGTTTCCCAAGAAGAGCCTCTGATTTTTCAGAGAAAGGAAAGGAATGTGCATAAACAGAAGGCCACTTCCTGGGAGAAGCTTCCCTCGATCGGCTGGCCTGGGCTTGGCGGAAGGGCCGCGAAGGGAGTGACGTGAAGCCCCCGTGGATAATGTGAATCCTTGTGACGCGTGCGGTGTTGCGTCTGGACTTTGCGGTGCGTGTGTTTGAGGTGACTGCGCGAGCTGCTCGTCACACCAACGCGTGCACAGCTGGGTCGTCTTGATGTTCTGCCTAATTTCACGTGGCCTTGGGATCAAGAAGGCTCTGGGGTTAAAGGTCTTGTGCGGGAGACGTGCGTGCACCTGAGGCAGCAGCATCGGTAGCTTGAGTTTGTGTGGCGGTTTGTACTGTGCTGATTCCTTAAATAAACTCAGGATTTTACAGTATGTGCGTGTCTGAAATAATTCATGGCACCTTCTTCCGCACAGACAGAAATGTGATTTATAGAAACCCCCAGGAACACTTTTAGATTTGCTCTGGGCACGGGGTTACTTGCTACGCATCACCCCCAGAAAGAAACGGTAATAAACCGAGTGTTTGTTGAGTGCACACTCTGCGCACCCGCCTCTGGTCTGTTTGCTCCTGAGGGTGAGGCACCTGCCTCACGTATACTGGGTGCTTGGTGGGTTCTTCTGAATTCGTGCAAGAAGGGAGGCCCCGCCTCCCCGGGGTGGGTCTCGTATGGGGGCAGGGGCCTGGGGTCCGAGGCGCTGGTGCCCTGGGAATTCCGAGTCGGTCAGAGAAGTGCCGCGTGCGGCTGCCGACGGCACCCTCGCTTCTCCCTCTGCCGGCAGCTCTGTGGGCCCGGAGGGAAGGTGATGGGCGGCCTTCCTTCCTCCCTGCAGGTGAGGGGCTGGAGGAGGAGGAAGGGGTCTCTGAAGCCCTCAGGGCCAGTGGGACAGGAAGGGCCTCGGGACGGGGTCAGCGAGTTTCCGGCTTTTCTGGGCTCCAGAGACGCAGTGGGAAGGCAGTGAGCTGCAGGTGGGTCACCTTCCCGGGGCCGTGGCAGCCTGCGGGCTCCAGAGGGGAGACGTGGGGTCCTCGCAAGAGTTGGGCTGCGCGACTTCCTCCAGACCTGGGGAGCGTTACTGAGCCCAGGGAACCCCGGCCTCCTCCCACCCCCAGCCCACCCCCTGGGCCCCTCCAGGCACTCCCAGGCCTACCTAGGAACTCCCCCCCCCCGTAGCCCCCTCCCACACTTCCTGGCTCTTCCCTCGGACCTGGCGGGTGCTGGGCCGCAGAGCCACAGGCCGGGTTACTGCCCAAGAAGCCCCTGCCCTGCTGGGTGGGAGCCTCAGGCCCCCAGAGGGCCGGGTCTCCCTGCCTGGCCACTTGAAGAAGGGAGAAGTCAGGGGCAGGGTCCCCTGAGCCTGGGCTGACGGCCCAGCCGGCCCCTCGAGCACATCTGTTCTGGGGGGGCTCTGGAGGCCTGAGGCCGAGGCCGGGGAGGGCAGGCAGCCGCCCTCAACCCGCCTCCCCACCGGCTGAGTGCCTGTCTCCACCCTGCCTTGTGTGCCAGCAGGGCCGGGCCGGGTGGGGGGGCGCCAAGAGGTGAGGTCCCAAGTGATCTCCATGCCTCGGTTTCCCGACCTGTGACACGGGTTATTGGAGGATTGAGAGAAGTGTCTCCTTGTGGGGCTGGTCTCCCGGCCTCTGTTCCCAGGGCCTCCCCCGCCGGCGACCCCCCGGGCCTCTCTCCTCCTGCGACCCCGGGCCTCCCCCGCCGGCGACCCTGAGCCCCGCAGGGGTCCCAGCACCTCCGGCTGGTCTTCGGCTGCCACAGATGGACGTCCCCTGTGGCCTCTGGACGGTGCTCCCATGAGCCGCCAGGACTTTCCGAGCCAGGCCACGTCCTTGAGGCAGAAGAGGAAATACTGCTAGTCTGCGCCTGAGGCATCGGGGCCGCGGAACCAGTCTGCCCGGGGTCTCACGGACACATTGGCAGAACCACACCCGGTGGGGTCTGTGTTCTGTGACCGTCTGTCTGTCCGCCGAGCAGGCAACGCTGGGGTGGTCTCCAGACCGTGGCAGACGCTCCCGTGAACACAGCATCCACCTTTAAGTATTAATGGTGGTCCTGCCCCACACCAGGCACCCTGCTCTGCTCTGGGCTCACGGAGAGGGCGAGGACACACACCCTAGCCTCCCGACAGCCCCGCACCCCGCCCCTGCGCCCCTGCTGGGGCTGGACCCAGCACCCACCCACAGAGCAGCCGCCCGCCGCCGAGTGCCCACTGCGCTCCGGGCGCCTTGTTGCTCACGCGAACACTGAGGCAGAGACTGGGAACCTCTTCACGGGGGGGTGGGGACTAGTCAGCTGAAGGTGACCGTCCACAGTGCATGCCGTGGCCCACGGGGCCCTGGTGTCGGCCGGGCTCCTCCCGCAGCCGGCAGCCGGCAGCCGGCACCCACGCCACACGGGCGCCCCGCGGCCTCACCTGCGCCAGGCCGCTGCTGAGCTGGACGTGCCTGCGCAGGTGCTTGCCCCACCGTGGCCCCGTGGCCTCTGTGACACCCGCACGCCCAGCCCTGCTTTCCTCCTCGTCTTGCTCCTCTCGGGCAGCGCCCCCACCTGGTGACACACCATGTGGCAGGAGCCCTGGCCCCATGGTGTCCGGCAACTGCCCAGGGGCCCTGGGGCCGCTCCCTGGTCTGTAACAAGCCCATCCTGACCTAACCCTGGGCTCTGAGCAGCCAGGTCTCTGTCCCATGCCCCCTGCGGCCACATGGACGGACCAGGGGAAAGGGTGGCTTCCCACCCAGAGGGGAATCGAGGCTCCACTACCTGAGCCGCGGGACCAGATGGCAGCCAGGGCAAAGCTGCCTGTGGGCGCCTCCAAAAGCCCAGGTTCTCCGAGACTGGGCAGTCCGTGCAAGGTTCGCTGCCGGCCACAGAGACGAGGGACAGTGGAGGCCGTCCTTCCCCCAGAGGCCTGAGCATGGAGGCGAGAGAGGAGAACAGGAGCCGTGGTTGGGGCTGAGGGGCTGACTCCTCTTTCCCGAGCCAGGGCCGCTGCGGCCCTCAGGGAGGAGGCAGCTTTGGGAACCAGGCCTTGACGGACGGGTGGGGCTGGGGTGGGAGGAGAAGGAGACAGCGTGGCAGGGCCCCTGAGGAGGGCAGGCCCCACGGTGAACATGGTGTGAGTAGGCGCAGGTGACTGAGCGGGACGACCCCACCCCCACCCCCACAGGCAGCTGGGCACCAGCGCGGCCCCAGACACGCCGTTCCCTGGCCGATGCGCCCTCCCTGGGAAGCGTGATCTGCCCCAGCCTCAGCCTTGCTCCAGCACCCACTCTTTCCTCCGTGTCTACGCGGGGGAGCCCCTGCCACGCGCCCGGCCGCATCTGGTCTGCCCTCTCGAAACCCCGCTGGCGACAGGTGTGCAAGGGCTGCAGGCGTGGGTCAGGATCGCTGCCCCAACAATGAACGGGGCCCAGAGGGGACCTCGAGTGGGACGGCACATCCTGAGGCCAAGCCTGCGACAGGCTGAGGGCCCCACGGGCACCCTCTTGGTGGCCGGCTCCCTCCTTGCTGGCCTCCTTGCCGTGTCAGCTCCGGGTGATGGACTGTACACCCGCTCCGTGTCACGGGAGACGTGCAGAGCCTCCTGGGGGTCAAGGAAGTCCCAGAGGTGCAGCGCACGGAGCAGGGGCGCCTCCCGAGGACAGTCGAGGCCTTTCCATCAGCGTGGATCCAGTTGTCCCAGCCTCTGGAGGGAGGCGAGGCCTGAGCCCGAGGCCCCGGCGCAGAGCGGTGCTATCGCCATGTGGCCTGTGGCCCGCGTGGCAGGACGCCATCTCTCGGGGGGCACTGCCAGTCTGCCAGTGTTTGAATGAACTCACAGCCGTTCTCAGCTTCAGGCAGGAACACGCCCCAGACTCCCCACGCTGACTCCGGGGCCTGTCCCCACCGCACAAGCGGACTCACCAATGGAGAAGGTCTTGCTCTTTTGAAGGGTCAAGACCCCTTAGAAAATCAGGTAAAAACTGTGGGCTTTTTCTCAGAAAACACCTACACACATAGACATGCACATGTGCACACGTAACACGTACACGTCTGCATATGGATGCACGCACACGTACAAGTACGCTCACGTGCACGCACGCACAGGCACATGCACACACAGGCACGCTCACACAGGCACACACGTGCACACGCACCCACACATGCACACACAGGCACACACGCACTCACACACGTATGCACACGGGTGCAGTTTCGGGGGCTCACAATCCCTGGACCCAGGCAGGCAGGAAGCCGGGTTAGGGAAGGCCTCCTCCCCATAGCGCTCCCTGGCAGGTCTGTGTGCCTAGCAGGGCCCCGCTGCAGGCATGTTCTAATCTTACTCTGGGGTGGACGGAGGGGCGTCTCTATTGCTCCTTTCCTGTAGAGCAGGGGCGGGGCTCACACGCGTCGGCAGGGTCAGTGGCTCTGGACCCAAGGTTCCGGGTCTGGTGCGCCCGTTTCCTCCGACTCCACCGGCGCGCTCCTTTCGGTGCGTGAGAAACCTCTCAGGTCCCCGCCCCAGGATTTGCAGTAACTCAGGGTGGGGAGAGGAGCAGAGACCCGCCCGCACGAGGTTCACTGCAGGAACCAGGGGGCTTTTGTTACACCGTTTTACTTCCTACAGCTCCAAGTGAAGTCTGAACTCTGACGATCATAGGTGTTCTCTTCCCCGAGTATGAAACATCAGGACGTGGAGACACGTAAACCATGCCGGCGGCGGCCCGCATGGAGCCGCAGTGAGCGAGGACCCCCACCGCCGCCCTGATGGTTCCTCCGGGCCGCGCACACTAGCCTGTGCACGCCCGAGTGCCCTGCACAGGTGACCCAGACTGCGCACTCTCTGGAAGGCCTCAGGCCTGAGCTCTGGGCGTCGCGGGGTCCCCGGCGTCTAAGTAATTTGGATTCACGATGCAGCTTCCCCTCAAAAGCCTGCAGCACTGCCCCCGTCCTTATGCACCTCCCGCTCCCACCTCGGTGAGCGGTGCGGAGATGGGGGTCCTTTAGAGCCCGCCCAGCGGTGCGGGTGTCCTTGGTGAAGGTGGGGCCGGCAGGCAAGTCCGCTCCTGGTGTTGGCCTCTGAGAGGCCTGGCTTCCTGTCTGCTCCCCGGGCCCGTGTGCGCAGCCTCCTCAGGTCTCAGACCCTGGTAAACTCCCCCTGTGCTGGGGAGCTGGAGCGCGCGCCTGTGGCCACAGGAAAGGCTGCGTGCGTGCTGTCCGCGCCGCGTGCACGCTCTGGGTCCGCTCCGCATGCATGCGGTCTGCCCTGCGTGCGTGCTGTCCGTGGGTCTGCTGTCCGCACCTCGTGCGCGCCGTGGGTCCTCTCCTCGTGCGTTCTGTCCGCGCCTCGTGCGCGCTCTGGGTCCACTCTGTGTGCGTGCG